TAATATAATAACTATTACTAAATAATATTAAATATAAATAATTAATAAATGTTAAGTAATACTAATTGATATTATGTGGTCAAACTAATATGTTTAAATATTAATAATAAGTTAAATAATTGTTTATCCTCTGTTATAATGTATTGATACTACTAATATATTGAAGTTTTTGATTGATAATTATAATATTACATTTTATACCATAACACCACCATGAAATCTTATGAATTACTACTTGATGGAATCTTGAACAATACACAAAAAAGATAGCCAATCAAATGTTGAAAAAAAGAAAATTAATTGATTTTAAGATTGGTGATCTAGTTTGAATAAAAATTTCAAAGATTGATTGATTTAGTATTGATTGCTCTAGCCTCCCTTATAAAATTATGAAAAAAATTAAAGATAAACATTATCAACTAGGATGCAAATATGGGATACTTAATGTAGTGGTGAACTTGAAACACTTGGAACTACTACATACCCTGAGCTTGATGAGATCCCATTAAATCAGATATCCATTTGAGAGGTGACAAGACTTCAGAGTGTTGGATTAATATCGTGCTCTATTTGTAATTGCAAAGGTCCATGTGATAATAACAGTAAAAAGAAAAACGCGAAATGTACAAGTAGGTGCCACAGCGGAAAATCATGTTCAAACAAGAATTAAATTTATTAAAAATATTATAAATAATATTAATTTGTGCACGAAATATAGTTTTAGTTTATTTCAAGTAATCATGTTTTAAACTATAAATAATATAATAAAGAAACGTATCATTACATAATTATCTATTTTATGTATTACACTATAAATTTTTTTTATAATTTATTATGATATTATGGTAAATTCGATGCAAAAATAAACAATCGACAGGTTACGCGCCTCACCTGACGATTTACACCTAGATTTATATGATCAATGCGTCACATTTCAAACGAACGATTAATAGATCACGCACCTCACCTGACAATTAACATCTGACACCTCAGCTCTAATCTGACGCAAGCATTAGTCTGTGAAAACTGGGATAATTTAATTACTATATAAATCAAATTTTTAAAATTAGTGACCTTTATAAAATTTGAGAATATATTTTGATATTATTAATATTTAAGTATTCTAGTATTCTAGAGTATCAAGGAAGAAATATTTGAAAATATTAAATTCCAATTATTATGTCCAAAGTATTTGATTGGAAGTTTCCAATATACAAAGAACAAAATCTTCAAGATTATATCCAAAATTTTTTAACTGGTTGTTATGCGTAATTTTTATTTTTGTAATATAAAAAAATTTATTAGAAAATTAAGGTTTAAATGATTACTATTTACAATGATTAAAAAAAATTTTTTGCTCTCCAACTCAAGGGTTAAATCATTAAACTTTGAAGAAGGGAGAAAAAATATATACAATTAGAATGTATGCTATCATTATTGAATCTATTTTATAAAATTACCAACTTGATTATCTTTTTAGTTAGAGAATGCCTTCGATTGTCATTTATTTCCCAACTTGAATAATTATTTTTTAGTTTAAAGAATAATTTCCCAACTTGATTAACTTTTAGAGAATAACTTCTCATGATAAAACAGTGGATTCATCAAATTCATAATTATCATTTTTAATAAATCTTCATTATTTTGTTTTCCTCGATTTTATATTTTTCATAAAATAACATGTATGCCTCTTGTTCCAAAACTTTTTTTAAACTAACTTCCTCGATATTTTCATCTGATAAACGCCACCAAACATTAGATCTTTCTTGACGTCGATATGTAACAAAATGACCAAGTCTGTGGTCACCAAGGTGAACAATGACTGCTTTTAATCGATAATAAGCTTCATTACCTTCTATTCTAGATAATGAGGATGATGAGGATGATGGTGATGACAATGGTGATGAAAGCGGTTCGCTTGGCATGGTTGCTAAATATCCAGTGGTGGTATACTGTGAAAAATCGATTATATCTGGAAATATAACCCGACAAGGGTTTTTTAAAACCGTTCCATTTTGAAAAAATATGGAACGTGGAAAATGAAATGCAATTACTTCTGGAAGTTTTGCAAACATTGTTTTTTTGCTGGCCGGAAATTTTAAATGAACTAATTCTGTCAATCGTAATTCCATATCAATATCTTTGTCCAAATCAGCTACTAGTGAAGTTTTGATGATTTCTCTGTCTTTTTTAAGGAGTCGTAAGTGTTCTTTGGTTTTATCATGTTTTTTAGATAACTCTTTCTCAATAACGGTCAATGTTTCTAATAAGCTACATCGTGGGCAATTATATTCATCGATAAATTCAACTCCAGAATAAGTTTTGAGAAGGGTTTCGAGAGTTATGGAAGGTTGTGTTGGTAGAGGAATTGATACGTTATCGAACGTTGAATGTCGAATCGGTCCGCAATAGTTACAATTCAAACAAGAGATTCGGCAAGCAATTAATCCTTTAAGAGGGTTACTTTCGTATATTAAATTAGATTGATTATCGGGCTTTGTTAATTCTCTAATAGCATCAACATCCAATATAGACTTTGGACGTCGACAAATTTCATCCTCGGTACCCAATGACTCTGTTAAGAGTTGGAACAACTCATGAGCATCCTGCTGTTGCCTATTAATTAGGCGTCTTGCGTTTTCTTGCAAGGCCCAGACCATTTTTGTGGGAACAAGTGATGCACGATTTTTTATGGGCTCGTTTAATTTCTCTAGAGTTTCGTGCAAAGCAATTGTTACAGGACATTTTTCGTCCTGTACGCCTCTAAAGTTGACTTTCTTTTTCAGATAGGACCGAAGGTTGTTCAACGAGGCAAGGGCCTGCAAAACGGAATTAAGGAAACATACATTGTTTCCTCGATTAACTAACCCATAAACGTATGTTTTGTTGGATTTATTTTTAGAATTTATTTTTCGTTTGCGTTTTGAATGTTTGGGTTTTGAAATAATGAATGGGGCAGCCATCGCAAATATTGCGATTGCGGTTATAACCAAAGGGAGGTTATTCATATCTATCATTATCTTGCTTCTCGTTATGTTACAATGGAAGAATTCCGATTACATTAGTTTTCACAAATTTCACAAGGATTATTACTGGTTGAAATAAACTTTTGTAACATTAAAAAAACTAAACAATTAAAAAACACGTTTTAAACAGTTTAAGCGGTTTAAACGGTTTAAACGGTTTAAAAAAAACATGGTTAGCAAAAACAATACAAATAAACCAACGCGTAATTTAGCAAAAGAAGGTCGCATTAAAAAACGGAATCTCAGTTCAATTTTACATAAAAATGGTAAAATAAGATCTAGTGAATTAGTTATACACGGAAAAGAGTTATCAAAAAAGAAGCAGAAAAAATTAGAACGACAAATAAAATTTGTAAGTATTCTTTAATTATAAATTACGTTTTTTTATTTATTAAATATCATATGTACAAAAAAATAAATTCTATTATTTCAAATAAAATATATATATATATAAAAATAAAGCAAAAACAAAGACTGTTTGAAAGGGGTGAAATGGTACCTGAAAAATTGAATTTAGGTAAATTTTAATTTTCTGAGATAATTAAAAATAAGATAGTTTATTTTGCATTCATTAATTTGGTTGTTCATTGCATTATAAGTTGAGGAAAATGAGACGATAACGGTAAAGTCTATTTACAAATCGGAAGATAAGAGTAAAGATAAAAATGTAAATATTGATATGGAAATGGATATTATATCATTTGGAAGCGGGACAACACTGGGAGCTCCCCAATAAGATTATTCAGTTAAATAGTAATTGGGTTGAATTGTGATTGATGAGTTAATTTTGAGCTAATTTAATATTAAGATTAATTTGGTAATAAAACTTTTTTTTTTACAATAAAAAAGATTATTAATTATAATTCATTAGTTAAAATTTATTACCTTTTGTTGTCACCTTCCATTTAATGGCTCTCAAACAAGCTTTGATTTTAAGCCTTAAATCAGTTTCTAAAAACATACATATAATATAATTTAGCCCTGTACATTTAGAAATATTTTGAAACATTTAGAAATTCATAATTTCAAAACTTTATTCTTTTCTTACCATCTTCTGCTGACTCATAAAACTTATTTACTAATATTCTATGTAGATTAATTAGTCCTTTCTATCATTTACCCAAAAATTATTAGAAATTAGTAATAAATAAATAAATAAATTAATAAATCGAGAGAAAAAAAAAAAAAAAAAATTTCTAACCTACCTTCGTGGGTTCTGATACTGTATTAAATCTTTTGGTTGATATATTAAACATATCTAATGTTTCATTTAACATTGCTATATTATCACGAGGTGATAACATCTTCAGGAAATCTCCTAGAATAAGAGCCAACTTTTCATGTGAGTCTTGATAATATGAGGTGGTTTTATTATCAAGAGCTTTAAATAACTCTTTAAAATGGTGAAAATTTTTAATTTGAAATTCTCGCAAAAATTTTTTAGGAGTAATATCTGTTATCGACTGAACAATCTTATTGGTTAGGGAATAAAAAACTTCAACCATTGAAGGTATCGATAAATAATCTTTTTTATCCCTAATCTCCCCTAGATTATTTTTAACTCTAGGGAAAGTTTTAATTAAAGAACATAAAAGTTTATATGGTTCTTCGATGTTAGAATTATTTGGTTTCATGCTTTTAAATTGCAATATTAAATTTTTAATAACTTCTATGGCTTCAGGTGGCCACGGTTGATTTAATGGTACCGCAAAAGCCAATTGATTGAAGAGCTCTGACCATCGACTCGTGTATTCTTTAAATAATGGATTATCGATTGATGGTATGGACATTTCTTTTGCCCATTGGAGATTGAATTTTAATCGTTGATCGAAGGGCGTTTCTCGTTCTATCCTTTCAATCTTTCTATTTTTATGATTACCATTACGTCTTATTAACGGTGTGAGTAGGGATCGTTCATTTGACGATTTGGTTCTGACTATTCTATTTCTATCATTACTATTTCGTATTATTTCATCGTTATCATTATTATGTCGTATAGAAGGAATACTTGGAATGTCTCGTTCAATTGATGAAGTGAATCCGATTAATCTATTGTAATCATTATTATGTCGTATAGACGAAGTATTTGGAACTTCTCGCCCAATTATTCTATGATTTTCATTATTACGTTGCATTGACGAAGAATGTAAAGGATGGATGTTGCGCTCATTAAACTCGTTCCTAATTCGAAATTCATTCTCTTCAATCACTAAAATATCAGACTCTCCTAATGAATGATCATATATATTGTCTTCTTCCAAATCTTCTGAAGTCGTCAATATTGAATCAGAGGAACTAATAGATGGATTAGAACTAATAGATTGGATAGATTTACTATTATCCATTTCAACAAAGCTTTCATTATTTGAGTCTTCATCAAATTCAGTAGGTTCAGTAGGTTCAATAGACTCATTAAATCTTTTACATATTATTTCTACAACTACATTGTCAGGTTTAATGAGATCAGGATTAATAAATTGTTTTTGTCTCTTAACTTCTGTTCGTGGTTTTTTACGAGAACTGGGAGATTTTGGTTTGTCTTGACTTATTGGTTCGTCATCAGAATGTATTGAACCAATCGAAGAAACTTCATAACGTTGACGTTTATTTAAAACGGTTTTGGGTAAATTATTGTCAATAGAGTAACTTTCTTCTTGTTCCTCGTCAGAATTACGAACAACAAATCCATCTTCTTGCAATTCATAATTATAACGTTGTTTATCATTTTCCAGCTCCCTTTCCTTTCTTAAAACTTTTTCATCAATTTCGGTAGGTATACCAGCTTTCCTGGCTCTTATTCTTTCTATTGAATAAGGAGCTTGTTGGATAGGAAGTCTCTTTCTTAATCGATGTGTTGTTGAACTTGAAACACCTTCGTCAGATAGGTCAGAATTATTAAAATTATTAAAATTATTGTTTCGTGAGTTTCTTTGTTCCATACCGATAAATATTTAAGTAATTTAGAGATATTTTAGAGAGGAATAAGAATTTAGATATTTATATTACGGACGCGAAAATACGCGTTGATATAGGTTACACAAAAAATAAACAATCTTGCTAGAAGCGAAGGAAGATAAACTCAAAAGTGTTTGTGGAGTTGAAATCTCTACGATAGATAATTCGTGTTAATTTTTGTTTTCAGCTAAACTTGATAATAATTTTTTAGATCTGGAATATATTTTTTGTTATGATTAATACTCTGAGATTACGTTAATTGATTGAATCATGTGATTAATAACTTTTTTGAACTAAATTACTCTTGTATATTAAATATTTTATTAACTGAGACAAAGTACAGACTAAAACATTTGTGATAAAATTATTTTATAATCATTTCATATTTAATGGAGTTGAACCCAACAAAAATGTATTTAGATTAATAAATTTTAATTATATTTTCTATATCTATTACAATATTTATTAGTTTAATCATCTTTTCATTACTTGAAATTTTTAGATTTATAAAATGATATTATTTTCCAACAAATTTAATATGTGTACCTGAATTAAGTTTGAACTCCACAATAATCATCTTTAATAGTTCCAATCGCAAACTATTATAATCGTGGAAAAGAAAAAAAAAAGAAAGATAAATTATAAAATGAATAGACAAATAAAAAAGACAAATAGAAAAGCCAGAAAACTGAAAAAGAATAATAAAAGTATTCTTAAATTTTAAAACATACAATATCAGTAGCATCAAATCTTGTCCCAACAATTTTTATCCTGACATGACTTCCTTTTTCAATTGACTTGAAAAATAAAACATTTTAATAATAATATTTTAATAATAATATTCTTTAATTAAAAATTAATAAATAAGAAATACGTACAACAATTTCGTCGGATGTGTAACCCACATAAGCTTGACGAGCTGCATCAAAGCTAAGATCCGAAGGGATCAACTATATGATTATTTATAAAATATTATTAAAATTCTTCATAAAATATATTTTTTTTTGCATGATCATATGATAATAATGAACTTACATGACTAGAAACAAATACTTGTAATGGTCCAACTTCAGCGAAAAATCCCATCTGTAAAATATAATAAATATAATAAATATAATAAATAATTTAATAATAAATATAATAAATATAATAAATAATTTAATAATAAATATAATAAATAATTTAAATATAATAAATATAAATTAAATGAATAATTTTAATTCCAAAACTTATATCATAAAATGAATAATTTATCATTTATAATTTAACCTTGTTAACTTGAGTTACGACACCATCAACAACTTCCCCTTTAAAAGGTTTGAATACAACAGCTCTATATTTTACTTCAAATTCGGCTAACCCAACTGAAGGTATAACTTTCCCTTTTGAAATATCTAATGATTCCATAGTATCCAATACAGCTATGATATAACCATATCTTCCGGTACAAGTGCCTTCAACATCTGAATATAATTTCTCGGCAAGAAAATTTTGATAATTTTGAGTAAAATAAGAAGGATGAAGTTGGATAGTGTGGGTTAACTTTTTCTAATAAATCAAGGAAATTTTTTTTTTTTTTACGTTTTAGAATATGTATTAAAAAAAAATTATAATAAAATCAAATTCTCAAAATGCATACAATGAAAAACATTATCGACAGAAATTTTATACATCCTACATTGTCCATATATATATATATATATATAAATGATCAGTATGTCACGTGGTCTTACTTTGATGATAAACGGACTCATCCTATATGCAATACAAAAATAAATTATAAATGGTACAGACAAATACATGACATAATAATTTATTTTTCCGATACAACAATTAGGCAGACGTATTTATCTATTTATAGAAGGTTTCACTTTTACTAACAGTTATTTATTTTTTATCGTCCCGGATCTCTTTATGAATTTCTTCGCAAATTTCATTACGAATTTCTTTACAGATTTCATTGCAAACTACTTTGCTTTAGCCTTTAGAAAGGAGAATATTGAAGTTAAAGCTGAGAATGCAAAATTAAAACAAGCTTTGGAAGTCAGATTCACGAATTTATAGAAGAGAGATAAGGTAAGATCAATATAAAAATAAACAAATACTTCATTAATTTGTTATTACACTGTAGAAATAAAGATAACCTAATTCTATGTTTTACGTTTTCGTTGACCGATCTATTCAATTTCAGATGCGATTCTACTAAAATTATTTCGGTACGTTTTCAAGAACATAATAATGCCGTTCACGTGAGTCATTCATTATTTGTATTATTTGTGAAAAATCAGCGAAATCAGATCCGAAATTATTGATAGACTTGCAGTGGAAATTAATGCTCGTGATACTAACTACGTGACGGGCACAAATATTATTTCCTTGGTTAATGCAAAATATTAATAGAGATCTGCAATCTGCATTTTTCCGTGTGAAAATTATTTTTTTTCATACCGCGTGAACATTTTTTTTTTTTTCAAACCGTGTGAAAATTATTTTTTATTTAAACCGCATGAACATTTTTTTTTTTCATCCAATTTTTTCCTCTCCTCTTTCCTCTCTTTCAATTTCTTCTCATTTTCTATATCCTTACTCCTCTTTCAGTCTCTTCTCTTTTTCTATATTCCTATTTTTCCTTTTTCTATATTCCTATTTTTCCTTTTTCTATATTCCTCATCTTTTTTGGTCTCTTCTCTTTTTCTATATCCCCTTACGGTTCCTTCAGGAAATAGTGAAACAAGTATTCTTCTCTTAACCAAAGGTGATTTAATATACTCATATGGAATTCCTTAATCAAAAGATCTCAATGGTTTGGGATTCTTTCCCAGTAGGTTCGATTCCTACAGAGATCCAGGCCTGGGGACTATTGCAAATATCAAACTCTTGAGATATTGTTTTATGAAACTGGAAGCTCTTCGGGCCACTATATGTGAACGTCCTTCATATTAACACTCAATTGAGATTTATATTTCTTTGGAGGGTACTGTTTATATGAAGCTGGAAGCTCTTCGGGCCACTTTTTTGTGAACGTTCCTTCATATCAACAATTACCCGCACCCCAGCGGTTTGCAAGATTTTCCTTTATAATAATTTATTATATAAAAAAATTGCGGTGATAGTTACCACAAACTATCCAGTTAACCTTTACTGGTCTTAAAGTAGAATGTGAAGAATCGGACAACCTATTAATTGAATATTTCAAACAGGATTATTTGAAATACGCAAAAAAAAAAAAAAATTAAGCATATTAGCAAATAATTATTGAAATATTCTAATTAAAATTTTGAAAAATTTGGAGCATTTGACATGGGTTACAGTTTTCCCTTAAAACTTGTCCAGTCGATTTTTACTGGTCTTAAAAATCATTGCAGTTTCTTTTTCTATTTGACTTCTGCATTATCAAAAAGGTCCCAAATGGTTTAAAGATATATTAAATATATTTCTTTAGTAGGTTCGATTCCTACATGGGTCCCTGTAAGAGTCAATTTTTATTATTACTTAAAAATCCCTACCCGAATTAACACTTTACACATTTTACAAGAAATTAATTGATTTAACTTCAGCTTTCAGAAAATTTTTTCATCAAGTTGTCTTTTCATTTAACATTTTTACAGTCTACCTTCAACTTTAAATTCTCAAGTCGACAACCTTCGTGTGGTGAATTCACAAATAATGAATGCGACACCACGTGCACTTTATTATTGTTCTCGCTCATTAAAAACCCGAGACTCAGAAAGGTGGTTCAATATATTTTTTATTTTTTTTTTTTTGTTGATTTTGTCTCTTTGTATCTTTATTTGTCTTTCTTGTTGTCTTTTATAAAACTTTGTATAAATACAAATATCTTAAATGCTTTTGTTATTTATGATATCCTATTACTAAATCTGTAATATAAAAATGGAAAAACTTTTAATCCAGTATAATGATATCTTGTATTAAAACTTAGTGTTGCGCATAATAATTTAGAATGGCAAGTTATTATTAGATAATGGTGCTTGGAAATTACAATTAAAAAGTATTTATGGGAAATGAAACAATTGTTAAAGGACTACGATGCTACTGAAATGCTTAAACAATTTAATGCATTTCAGAGAAGATAATATAAATAAAGAAATAAAGAGAAAATTTATCCTTAAATAAATAATATTATCTATGTATTTATTATTTAATCAAAATATTATTAAAAAATTATTTATAAAAATTATTTATAAAAATTATTTATATAAATTATACACATTCTCCACCACAACTGAGATAACGTAAAGGAAATGAAATAATTGAACCAATAGATAATCCAAAAACCAAGAAAAATGTCATAATAGTTCCAGCCAAATCTTTCTCCACATTTTCTAATTGAGGTGCAGCCATCATTAACAGGGAAGTCAAATACCCATTGGAGGTAGCGAATAAACTTAAAATAAATAAATATAATAAATCATTGTTTATCAACAATGGTAAGATTCTTTTACCAGTTACTCCGACATCCACATTACATAAAAGAAATAATGGTATAAATATAATACGACTAATTGACATAGATGCCAATTTTTTTGGATCCGTAATCACGTATGATTCAAATGTTGGTAAACTTCGACCAAACCAATCTCCCAAATTATAAATTAAGAAATGTAATGGTATAAATAAATAATCCATCTGAAACTTGTTTTTGTTTTCATCATCAGTCACGGATTTAATTAATGCAGTAATTGAAGGAAAAATTCCCAAAGTCACAACAAAAACAAATGCCACCGCAAAAGCCATAATTCGAATTTTAGCGAACGTATCGAGAATTAATCTATTATTCAGGTTGGTAAGATTAGGTGGATTCTCAACAATAGTTTTTTCGATTGGAATATAATGCAGATAAAGAGGCAAACGAATTAAACCAAAATGTAATATAAATGCCAAAATAATGACAATAAAAGCAGAAATAAAATAAATAAAGGCACCGTGCGCCAAATCATCAGCTGATGCCAGTGAAATGAAAATTTGTGAAATTGAAGTCGCGGCACCTCCCAAACCTGAATGAATAATAATGAATGAATGAATGAATAATAATAATGAATAAATAATCAATGAATAATTAATGGAATAATTATTAAAATTTTTAAAAAATATTAATTACCTTGACCACTATGGTAAATGTTTCAATTACAAAAAAAAAAAAAACTTTCATTGTTGTAAATGAGTTAATAAATAATTTAATATTTCAAATATAATTTATTGTTACCTCATTACGGCCTGAACGTGAGTTGGAGGAAATCGAGAAACTATTCCAAATGTTCCATTTTGCATATATGCTGATACTATACCAGAAACGAATACCATTAAAGTAATGAAATAAAAATATCCAGAAGGAGTAAAGAAATTTTCATATTTGGTTGATATTGCGACCAATAAAAAAGTAATCATTGAGACGAGGAGTGAGAATGTTATTCGATGAGACAAATTTGCCTGTTTAAATAATGACGATTAGGACAAATTAATAAATAAAAAATATTATTAATAATATTAATAAGATTAAAACCAACCGATTTTTGAGTATATAAAGCGTGGATAAGAAATATAAGGTTAGAACTCATAAAGATAAATGAAAAGTAATTCTCAAAACTGTCTTCATAAGAAGACCCACGAAATCTCGATTTGAAAAAAACGGAAGCAGTAATAAATACTGAAAAAATAAATTTGTATATATTTTATTAAATTAAATATGACTAAAAAAAACATTTTTATTTTATTATTTACCATTCCACCCTAAAAGTTGTGCTAATCCTTGTACAAAAAAAATTAAGTAGACAAATTTATATTTGTCTTTAGGAATTTCTGGTTTTGACAATAAAGCTACTGAAACATTATCATTTTCAATGTCTTCATCGTCTTCAATTTCAATTGGTGAAGTATTTGATGTATAAATGGGTTGATATCCTTCATTTTCTTGACTCGTAAAGCGAGACATTTCAAATTGAAGAAAAGCAAAGTAAATAGATTATCCATTGTTCCATTACCTTGTTGAGTGGGCTATTACTTCATGCTTATTGAAAAAGTGTAACTTGAAATGGATATGCGAACCTAGGATCTTACCTTATTCGGGTCCCGTTAAGATGAACCGATCGAGGGACCGATGAGGTGAGTTTTATGTATGTATCAAGTCAAATCGGTTCGGTCCGATTCGACTTATACTTAATTTACTTTGCATTTATTAAAATAAGATAAATGTGATCGATCTAACTTGTTTTTTTAGTTTTATTACAAATACTTATTAATACTTATTAACAAAGTATGAAATATTCATGTTACCTTTTTTCCTATATTTATTAGTTGAAATACGACTCTGTGAAGCCAGGTTATTCCGTGGATCTAGTATGACTCATTACCCCGAAAAGAAGCACAGGAAAGAAACGTATATCATATCGGTTATCATTTAAAAAATAAATGAAGTTCTAATATGTTTATCCAAATGTTTCAAATAACTAATTAATAAAATAAGAAACGTCTTAAAATGTCACATCACATATTTTGTCAAAAGCCCGCATTTGGTAATTACTTTAGATTGTCAGACTATTTTGTTATGAGCATTTGGTAATTACTTTAAGATTATCAGACTTATTTTGTTATGGTATAATTCTATTCTGATTATCAGACTATTTTGTTTATGGTATAATTCTATTCTGATTATCAGACTATTTTGTTATGGTATAATTCTATTCTGATTATGGTTATGATCACAACACGTGTAATTCGAATAAGTTAAACCAAAACCTTAAAACCTAAAAATTTTCCTAATACTTGGAAAAAAGTGAGAAATTTTATGTACTACGATAATATAATAAAAAATGCCTTAGCTCAATTTATTAATTTTAAAAAACAAAGGGTTGAAAACAAAGAATAAAGATATTAAAAAAACGTTAATTTAATAATTAAAAAAAAAATTTTTTTACAAGGACATCTTTAATTGTACAATTATAAAACACATTGGTTATTAATTGAATGTTATTTTTGTTTAAACCCAAAATCTACTATTACTATTTTGAAAGTCATTAATTAAATAAATAAATCGGAATATCATTAATTAACCTTTACCCATGCGATTTCCTAGGTAACAAAAGATATTTTAATATATATATATATATATTTTGTAATCTATGTGTAAAATAAGTAAACCATTTTGACTTGAAGAAAATCGTTTTCATACCCCAACCGCGTGGATTAACATCTTTAAACTCATCCAATTCTCGCAGTCTATATGTTTCTGCATCGATAGCCTCTTCGTCATTGTCGTTGATTTCTTTCTTTTCTGGCATTTGGCTAAATGAAATATTGATAAATTTATTGTTAGAAAAATACGCGCCGGGTGATAACCAAAAAATATATTATTTATCATCACGTTCGAGCTACCCTCCGCCAGAAATAATATTTCCTCTCTCCTTTTCTTGTTGAAGATATTCATCGATTGTCATCGTTGGAAGACGCCAACCAGGTCTGAATACTTGTTGTCGTATTTCTTCACGTTTACTTGTAATTATAAATGGACGAAGAGGCTATATTCAAAATATAATAAATAATAAATAGTAAACGATAATACATAATAATAATAATAATAATAATAATAAATTATAATAAATATAACTCACACGTCCTTCTGATGATAATAACGGTCCATTGCCGTCTTTTAATGTATTGGTCGAAGGTACAATTTCCTTCTCATTTACCCCACTTTGTTTTATATGATCCTCCGACTTTCGCATGTTATTTAATAAATCCATCTCTTGATTTATTGACGATAATTGTTCAATTGATTTTTGAATAAAGAGATCAATACAAGTTAAGACACAATTTCGATCAATGTCTTCTTTATCATTATCATTTTCGATAGAAGATAATAACTGTTGTAATTTCTGTTACATTACAAAGATCAAAAAAAAAAACAAGAGATTAGAATACATCGAGAATTTTTTTAAAAAAATAGATCAAAAGAATTTTTACATTTTAAACACCTCTAATTTTGCTTTGGTTTCTTTTTCTCGTTTGTATCTAGCAATTTTTTCTTGACGTTTCATTGCTGGATCCTTATTTATTACATCAGCTCGTTCCATATATTTCTGATCCTAAAAAATAATATCAAAATAAAAAAAAAATTAATACATTATATTAACAAATTTATAATAAACTTTTAAACTTGCCTCCTCTTTGAGTATTTCATGTAATTCAACTTTATGTAAAAATTGTTCAAAATACCGCTTTATAAAGAAATCCTTGGTTAGCATCGCATTTCTTTATATATATAAATTTTTAATAAATCAAATTCGAAATACACCTTAGACGTGTTTAAAATTTGAATTCTATCTCCATTAGTAAGTTTGGATGTTAAATCGCCAAGATAGAAATCCACCAAAAGAAATCTATTAACAATTAAATAAATAATAATAATAATATTGTATATGATAAATTTAATTATTCAACAAATTCTAACGACATGTTAACTTTATATATTCTCAACCTTAAATCTTTAGTATTGATATCATCCACAGTCTCATTTGAACTAAAAAGACTTAATGTATCAACTAATTGTGCACATTTGGAAAAATGCAAAATCGCATTATTTACATCCTTTATTTAATTGAAAGTAACTTTTGTTAGTCAAGAGTTTATACATTATTAATTAATTAATTAATAATAATAATAATAATAATAACCTGATGTATTGTATTAGAAGAAGTTAGATTTATATTTTCGATTTTTTCATATAGTTCCTGACCCGCACGAAATATCCCACTTAAGGAGTCTTCATTGGCCATGAATTTTGATAGAGAGTAGATCAAAAAAAAAAAAAAAAAAAGAGTTCCGTTGCCTTTTATAATTTTTGAGGAATTTGTTTGTGAAACAGTATCATGTATCATCCAATCAATTTATCCCTGTTTATTCTTGGATCCTGGTATATCTATGCCGCAGACCTTCTTATATATAATATAAGCCACCCAACTATAATAATAACTGATTTTATATAAATAAAAAATTCCTACTTTTTTTTTGTCTAGGTAACATTCTTCTCGTTTTAAAAAAATTTTTTTTTGTTTGACTCTATTTATAAATGACTAAGGCGAATAAGAAAAACAAATCCAAAGGAACCAAAAATTCAGAACGGTCAAATACTAGAGCTTTAACAAAGGGTAAGCAACCACTTTTACTTTTTACTATCGTTTAAAGCAACTTTAACAAAAAATATTGGTTTATTCCGCAGAAAGAACACACGAATCTCAACACGACCCGTTTGGAGTTGTAGCGCCGTCAAGTACGGTGTCTACAACTACAACGCGTTCCAGTTCAATTGAGCCCCAACAACAAAATTTGGAAAACTCGTCTAAACCGAAAACTCGTAAATGCAAAAGTAAAAGGAAGAATAGTACCACATCCAAAAAAAATACCAAATCCAAGCAGAACTCCAAACAGGGTCACAGTATGTCTTTTTATAACGAATCTTCATTTGGGACTTAAACCAATACTAAAAATTTGCAAATGCTTTATGTTTTCGTCGTCTAAAAAACTTTAGTAAAACCACCTGAAATTGATTATTCTAGTCACTCTTCTGATGACGTAGACGAGTTAAAACTTAAGCGCGAATATCGTCGGCATATGAAAGAAAGTGACGAGAAGGAAGCCAATTTCATCGTGCTTCGAGATATGTAAGTATAAACCACTTAATATTCAATATCGAACCATTTGTTATTTTCATCATTCAGGCTTTTTTTTTTTTTTTTTTTTCTCTCTTTCCAGTTTATTTAAGTCCAGAAAACGAGAAATAGACGAGGAAGAGACTTCTCTAAAATCCGAGACTCATCCCAAGTATAAAGAAGAAATAAACCAATTAGATATGAAAATACAACAGTCGCGAGAAGTTCAAGATAAAAGAAAAGAACTTGGTACTGAACATGCAAAAATAGAATATAATGCAGGGGCTTTACAAGTAAAACAACAATATGTGGTAAGTGAAATAATTAACTCATTAATAATTTGTCTTTGGAAAGAATTTATTTATTTTGTTTTTATTTTTTTTTTCTTTAGAGTGAAAGGCGAGAGTTAAGAAAAGAACTTATAGAAAAACTTGAGATATCAAAGTATCAAATAATAAGAGAATACAACAGATTAAGTGAGAATATAAATATAATTTTATTATTATTATTTAATTTAATTAAGTTAGTTATTTTTATTTATTAAATTTCCACTCCTTTGGTTTCACAAAAAAAAATAGTATCAGGATCTCGATATCAAATGTATGACCTAATTATTCGAGAAGGAGCTATTTTACCGTCTATGAATGATTTTGAACGCCGAAATTGTCGAGAATTTAATTTAAATATCCTTTTTCTTAAAAAGAATAAATTAATTCATTTCTCTTCATTGGAAAAAAATATCTTTAACCGAGAATGTTTTAACAATTGTCATATTATTACAGACGCAAACTGACAAGAAGTTGGATGCTGAAGATATTGAAAACGACTTTAGAGCCATTACATTGGGCCCTAGGATTTCAAATCCTCTAGCAGTTCCAGCAGTGTCATCATCCCCCTCCTCTTCTTCTTCACCATCATCTTTAAGAATAAATAATACACATATTTCAATGAAACAGGAAGTGCGTCCTCGAATTTCTCAGAATTTACTACCCCCGAGAACTAATGATTCAATAGGAAATGCATCATCAGTATTCTCGAGTTATGGATCTCGCAACAATATGAACAATGTGTTACGAAATCAACAATCTTTACTAAACAATAATTTAATGAGTAACGGATTGAATTCCATGTCCTCTAATTTTATGGATATAGATTATCGTCAGCGACAGTCTCAAAATCGACTGATGTCTCCTAATGTCAATCGAATTAGTAGTAGAACAACATCAGATTGGAGTAATTTGTCGAATTCAATTTCGTCGTTATCTCCACTTAATTTACGACAACAAGCAATGCCAACAAATTCAATTGACGAGTGTTCTGTAATGTCTTCAAGTTGTTCGTCAGGTCCGCCACCAAAAAGTGAAATAATATATGGTTGGCTAGAGAAAGGTTCAAAGGGGAAAAATGACTCGGACCGATGATTCTATAATAATCAGGGAATCGGAAAAAAAAAAAGTGTAGAAATTTTTTGAACGAAAAAAAAAAATGGTAAAACTTAAAAAATTATTAGTATAGGTTTTCCTTTTGTAGATGTAATACAGCATATAATTAAACATGTGAATATGTTTGGATTTTGTTAATTCAAATTTTTTTGTGAAACAAAATCTATTGTTATTGACAATTTTATCTATTGCTTTAAAAATTTGCAGTACTTTTTTTTTCTAGAACATACATTATGAACATAAATTGCGTTGAATGCATTAAAAAAAGTACATTAATTATATTAATTATTATTTTTGGTTATCAGTTTTTTTTTTTTTTTTTTTTTATTTAACCGAAAAATTTATTTATTTTATTTACTTTTATTTTTTCAATAATATATTATTAAATCAAATCATGTGACTTATGGTTTTGTTGATAATGATTTGATGATTTACCATGCAGACTTCATTGAAAAGCTTTTAATAATAAATACTATTGTATTGTATGATTTATAAATTTAAATTTTATGTTTCATAAATAAACAAATTAAAATAAATAATTGAAATAATATAATTTATAAATAAAATTTACGTCGAAAAAAAATTATTAACCTAGAATTTAAGCTCCTTTACTTTCTCCCAAGGAAACTAATAAAAATAATAAAACGAATAGGTAAAATTGAAGAATTTGAATAAAGCAAATATAAAATATTAATATTATTTACCTCTTCCCTTCCGAAATGCCCATAAGCTGCTGTTTGTTCGTAACTCCAACCTTGTGGTTTATGTAAGCTAAGTTGCTGTACAATAATACCGGGTCGCAAATCGAAGTTTTCTTTAATGATTTTTAATAACTCGGTATTCGTTTTAGATGATGTGCCATAAGTAGAAACAAAAACGGAAAGAGGCTCTACAACTCCAATAGCATAAGAAAGTTGGACAAGAACACGCCTTGCAAGTTTTGCGGCAACAAGAGATTTTGCAATCCATCGTGCTGAATATTTTGAATAAATATATATACACATTTTATACATATATTTAAAAAAAAAAAAATAAAAGCCACATGAATAAGAAACGAAAAACTTAAGTAGAATATCTCACCAGTGTAAGCAGCGGAACGATCAACTTTGGACCAATCTTTTCCAGAAAAAGCACCACCACCATGAGCACCATGACCGCCATACTATTACATGAGAAATTGTAATAATTTAAAAATTGATATAAATTAACAAAATAATAATAATAATAATAATAATAATAATAATAATAAAATATTTTACCGTGTCGACAATGATTTTACGACCCGTCAGTCCAGCGTCACCTTGAGGGCCACCAATAACAAACAAACCAGAAGGTTGTATATGATAAGTTGTTTTTTCCGTAAGAAATTTAGAAGGTATAACGGAATTGATAACGTGTTCTTTTATAAGACGTCTAATTTCTGGTGTTTCAATATCTGGTGAATGTTGGGTTGAAATAACGACGGAATCAACTTCAAGAGGAATTAATGCACCATTTTCCATTTTATAACGTACAGTGACTTGTGACTTAGAATCTGGACGAAGCCTATAAATGATCATAATATTGACAAAATCAAATATTAATATATATATATCAAGAATTGATGTCACTAAAATTTCAGGATAATTTCTTACCAAGAAAGAGTACCGTCCCTGCGAAGATCGGCCATCTTTTTGTTTAGCTTGTGAGCGAGGACAAGACTAATTGGCATCAGTTCGGGAGTTTCATCAGTAGCATATCCAAACATGATACCTATAAAAAAAAAATGAGATAAATATAAAATAAATAAATTGAAATAATAGAATAAATAGAAATGATAAAATCATAAAGAATCTATTTATTTTACCTTGGTCACCAGCACCAATATCTTCAAGTTTATTGCTTTTTTGTACAAGTCCCTGTGCAATATGTGGTGATTGTTGTTCAATAGCAACAAGAACATTACAGGTCTTATAGTCAAAACCTTTCGAAGAATCATCATAACCTATACGTGCAATAGTATCACGAACGATTTTTTGGTAATCGATTGGAGCCGAGGTTGTAATTTCTCCAAATACCAAGACCAGACCAGTTTTCGTGGCGGTTTCACAAGCAACCTTTGAAAAGGGGTCCACTTTAAGACAAGCATCCAAAATAGCATCGGATACTTGGTCCGCAATTTTATCTATATATAAAAAATTGGGAAAATTCAAATTGTTCAGAAAATATCTTGTTTTTTGTTGTCAACACGTTTCTTATTGCGCGTTCTTTTTTTTAATACCTGGGTGACCTTCGCCTACTGACTCTGAAGTGAAAAGAAAGGTTTCTTCGTTGGTCATTATCGTTTAATGTATATGGCTTAAAGCGAAATATGCAAAAATTTGATAAAATTTTTTAAAAAAAAAAACAATTTTTTTTATATCTACACTTTTTTTTCGTTTATTAATATTATGACGCCAAAACAAGATTTTTTTTTTGTTCAACATGTGAATAATTATAATCATCGATTATCTATCTGACGCAATAGTCACGAATTATTAACAATTATAGATTCTACTGCGTTAAAATTTCATAACCAATAGCTGAAGAACTAGAAGTTACACTAATTACACGTGAAGGATATATACCAGATGATCTACGGATCATGAATTAACATCGATCGTCTCCACATTTAACCAAAATAAAAAAAAATGGTATCCAAAGCAGATCCTAATAAACAAGGTTGGGAGGAATCTGTAAGTTTCTCTCAATTAAATTAAAAAAATTTACTTTATAAAACATCAATTAAGTATTCACAAATATTATTTTGTAGGATTTTCCTATTCTATGTGAAACATGTTTGGGGGATAACCCTTACGTTCGAATGGCAAGTTTTTTTTTTTGATTTTAGATCATTTAGATCATATTTAGATTATGTTTAGATAAAATATGTATTAATTAAATTCTTTTTAATTTAGACAAAACAAGGTTTCGGGAAAGAATGTAAAGTAAGTTTTCTAAAAAAAAAAAGTTTATTTATTTTCGTTATTTTCAGTATAAAGATGTATATAACATTTAAATTTCATAAATTTCATTTAGGTTTGTTCTCGGCCTTTTACAATCTTTAGATGGCTTCCTGGAGCTGGAATGCGATATAAAAAAACGGAAATCTGTCAAACATGTGCCAAATTAAAAAATGTTTGTCAAACATGCTTATTAGATTTACAGTATAATCTTCCAGTACAAGTTCGTGATACTGCATTAAATATTGTGAATGAAGCGCCAAGGTCAGAAATAAATAGAGAATACTTTGCGCAAAATATTGAAGGAAAGGTATTTCTTGGATTTTTTTATTATCAATATATACATATATATAAAATATTATCTAGATATAAACATATAGAAAAATTATGATCTAATATATAAAATATATAATAAATATTTTTATTATAGATTCCAGCTGGCGAAAGTCTTATAAGTTATGGAAGAGCCGATTCCGCTGGTCGCGAAACGTTAAAAAAGCTTGCCAGAACAGAACCTTATTATAAACGTAATCGACCTCATATATGTTCCTTTTTTGTTAAAGGGACGTGCACACGTGGTGATGAATGCCCGTATAGGTATTTATTTGTATTTATTTATTTTTTGTAAAAATAATAATAATAAATGATTAATTATTGAATTTTATTAAATTATTATTATTATTTAAAAAAGACATGAAATACCAGAAGAAAATGAATTATCACATCAGAATATTAAAGATCGTTATTATGGTACCAACGATCCAGTAGCAAAAAAAATATTGAATCGTTTGAAAGGTGGTGGAAATTCAAATATTACTCCACCTGAAGATAAATCTATTGTTAGTTAAATTTATTTATTTTTTTTTTTTTTTTATCAACAAATCAAATTTTACTTCTCTCAAATGTTATTAAATAAATTATTATTATTTTTTTTTTAGACTTCATTATTTATCACTGGAGTAGAAGAAGATATTTCCGAAACCGATTTAAGGTATGACACAAATAATATAAAAGAATATAATAAAGTATATCTAACATGTTTTATAATATTTAGGGGACACTTCTATGCATTTGGAGAAATTAAATCCGTTGTAGTAGTTCATAAATCAAAATGTGCATTTATAAATTACGCGAGTAGATCATCAGCCGAACAAGCTATAGAAAAATCTTATAATAATTTAGAAATTAAAGGACATGGATTAAAGGTAGCTTGGGGTCGACCTAGACCTACTGGACCAAAAACCGAAGTACAGGCAGCTATTTCATCTCAAGGAATTATACTTCCACCATTAGAATCTGTAGAAATTCCTCCACCGCCTGGAGAAACTCCTACCGATTTTCTTTATCCTAGTCAAGGTAATTTTTATTTTCTTTGATTTTATTTATTTATCATCATTTCTTTAAATTTACAAGAAAATCTTATAACAATAATAATAATAATGATAAATAATTTCTTTCAATATAGATCCAACCTATCAAGGTTCAACGAACAAAGTTTAATGTTTTATAGGCGAATTAATTGATTGATTAATTGATTAATTGATTAATTGATTAATTGATTAATTGATTAATTGTTTAATTGTTTAATTGTTTATGGAATATGTTATATAATTTATAGAAAAATAAAACTTTTACATTTTATTCAAACAATAGATTTTTATTATAAATGCATTAAAATGCATTACATTACATTGATTATTATTATTTTTTTTATTATTATTTTTTGATTATTTTTTTATTATTATTTTGATTAGTTATTTTTTTTATATATAATTGGAGGTAATAAAAATAATAATAACAAATTAATAATAATAACAAAATTAATTAACTCTACAATATATTATTAAAGAACTTTCTTTTCATTTATTATTATACAGCTTCAACCATTTCTTTTTCATCATCATCCTTTTCATTTCTTTTAGATATTTTATCCTTAATATTCCTTATTCCCCTAGAAACACATTTACAGGTACCATTGATAATATTTTTACCAAATTTTCCTAATAAAGTAATTGTGGCAATTGTCAAAAATAAGAAACTCCAAGCCTCCAAATGAATCCCTGGACCAGTATCGTGATCACCGATACCAGGCATTAAAGCGATTAATTCAAATACCCAAACAAATAGTAATAAATTAAAGATTAAACCTAAAAGATTTAATATGGTCGAAATTAAAATGATCAAGATTGCCGGAGTGAAGATGTCAAAATATAATAAAAAGAATGCTATCATATTTAATATCATGGTGAATAAATATGGTAATGAGATGAAACCGGAAATATTAACGGAAGGAATTTTAGGTGTAAAACTATTCAGTGAATCTTTTAAATTTTCTAAAAGTTTGGGAGCTTTATCGATAATATCTTTAGTGGTATCAGTGACAGTATCGGTTACCTCGGTAGTAGTATCAGTTACAGTATCAGTTACCTCGGTAGTAGTATCAGTTACAGTTTCAGTAGTATCTTCAACTACATCAGGCACGTCTAAACGTTTTTTATTATCATTACTTGATGATGAAATTTCCGAACTAGATGGTACTTAAAAAAATAAAATAAAAAAAAATAAAATATAAATATAAATATAAAAAAATTAAATGAAAAATGAAAAATAAAAAAATAATAAAATAAAAATATTATTATTATACATACTTTTATCAAAACTGTGAAGCATAGAAGGTGTTGAACATTGATCATCAATACAATATCCATACAAAGTAAAAGTAATCGCATTTTTCTTGGTAATATATTTTATTGGTTCATCGAATGTAAATCTTGATAAATATATTGATTTCGATCCTCCGATTAATAGAATAATTAATAAAAATGTAGAGCAGAAAATTGCAAACATTGATATCCAAATTGCAGGTTCTTCTTGAAATGGGACAAGGACATATTTATGTAAGAATGATTTTATTTTAGATTTTACATTATTATTATTTTTGTTATTATTATTATTGTTGTTGTTGTCGTCATCGTTGTTGTTGTTGTTGGAATACCGACGTGAAGATGGTTCAGGAATATCTGATAATCTTTCGTTAAACATATTTTTTTATGAAAAATAATTTGTTTTATGTTGTTGAAAAAAATAGTGAATTATGTAAATATGAGATCCAAAAATAAAGAGATTGAAAATATAACTTGAGAGAATGAATTCAAGATTTTTTCACAGCCGGCTGTGTGTAAGTGTGTAAGTGTATGTGAGTGAGGGAGAATGTGGATGTGAGAAATGAGAATAAAAATGCTTAGTGTGTGTTAGATAAAAAAAAATGTAAAATAAAAAAAAATAATAATGAAAATAATAATAAATAAATAAAAATTTTTTTTTTTTAATTCTAATTCTTTTAATTCTTTCGTGGTTGGAACCGCACGGCGTGTTCAACACTTGTCTCAATGAGCGAGAGATGTCTTATTTATAATGATTGAATTTCCCGTGTTACATATTTAACCGTATTATACTTTATATTTTATTTATATTTTATTATATTTTTACAATACTTTATTATATTCATTACATTTTTTTTTTTACAATACATTATTGTATTTTACAATTCATTCTTGTTCAATTTTGTAGAATAATAAGTTTGATATATATATATATAAATAGATGTGATTTCATGAATTCCATGATACTATATATAGCGTATTACATATATTGTATCGTGCATAAATTGTATATTGCCTAAATGATATATTAGAGTTTAACATTTACGTATTACAGTTTTAGCATCTAAAATCAGGTATTACAGAATCTACTACTATAGTATAAAAAGTATATTAAAAAAATTACAAAGAAAGAAACAAGTAAATTCATTGTTTGTTTGTTAGATAAATTTGTTAGATAGATAAATTTGGTAAGTGCGTTTTGTAACCCAAACCAAATTCAGTTAAAAATTAACGTATTATATTATGTATTTTATGTATTATAAATAACGTTGTTTATGAATTAAATTAATACCTTGTCAAAAAAATTGCCTTTTCTTGTTTTGCCTTTGTTGAACCCACCATCGCAAAAAAGTGTACAAAGCAAAGAAGATCCTTTTTTTTGACAAAGGTGAAACATGATAAAGATAATAATAAGGATAATAACATTCAAAAGAAAAAAAAACAATATAAATGTAATTATTGATGATATAATATGTTGTTTCATCGTTTCATCATATTGTTTATTGGTGTTCGTGGGTATCTTGAAATTGGAATTGGATTTTAAACTTTTTTTTTTATGGTAAAAATAATAATTGTTTTTATTTTCTATAAATAATTGGTTTATTTCTATAAATAATTTTAGTCAATTTTGGATCAATTTGTTTATTGTTATGGTTCCCGAATCTTTGAATTTGGATTCTAACCATTTCTATGGTAAATAACTAAATAATAATTGTTTTATTTTCTGTAATTAATTAGTTTATTTCTATAAATAACTTTAGTAAATTTTTAGTCAATTTAGGGGAGTCGTTGTTACATGTGATTATATTATATTATTAGTGTTATTATTTGTTCATTATTTAAATCAATAATGTAGATCATAGTGGCAAAGTTAATGGCCAATTTCTGGCAAAGATATTGGCATAGTTATTGACCAAGTCTTTGGCCAAGTTAAATATTATAAAAAAAATGAATTTTCCTTCCAACCTAAAGTAGATTCAAATAGATCTAATATTGAAATTTAGATAGTAATCTCACTGTAATAACTTTGTAATTATAGTAATTCTAATATTGAATTAATATTTTTGAAGATCTTCAAACATTCAGCATGTTCTAATAAAATAGGATCTATTTTATAGTTTAATGTTTTTTTTCTATAATCCCTATATTTTTTATAAATTATTAAAATTTAATATAATTAATTGATGTAATAAATTTATTAAAAATTAATATAATAAAATTTACTATCAAGGAAGATGATCATATTCCATTCTGTCACAATTTGATAATTTTGGTAGTTACTTTTGTAGTAATTTGAGATTTATTTAATGCATGTCTATATCCTTTTAATGTTGAGTTGAAAATCACTACCCAGTTGTCAAATAGTACCAAATAAGCCTTTCAATATATCTTGAGATATTCTATTTTTATAGCATTTTACAAATGGAACTGACATTCATATAGCATACTAAATACAATGTTTTAGAGCATTCTACAAACATTTCATTCATATGGTGTACTAGAACATATCGTTCTAAGGTGTTTTATGAATATTTCATTCATGTAGTGTACTATAATTGGCATTTTTAGTGTATCATTTGAATGTTTTATTCATATAGTGTACTAGAACAACTATATAATTCCGGATGATAGTAAAAATATCTTTTATCATATCAAGAAAATCTTGAATAGATAAAAGTAAATCAGACTGGTATTGTGATAAAATTCAATTTAATGTATTGATTTTTTAACTGTCTCTCTTTACAAACCAATTATAAATTTCTTTTAAAGTTTGTAAACAAGAATCAGAAAATTTTTTCAAAGATTTCTTATTATGAAATATTTGTTAATAAAGATATGAATATCTTATAAATTCCTAAATAAAAAATTTGTTATTGATATTTAATTATTTTTTATAATATTTTGAATTATATAATTTTTACTCACTCTTGTTCTACTAGATAGATTAGCTACAAGTTGAAAAGTATCTGATTAATTTCATGTGCAGTAAGAGTATTACCATAATAAGCTATAGGATATGCAAATTTAGTAGTAGCTGAATGCCAAACGATCTGATGTACTTGAGTTGCAACACCTCGATCATGATTTAAAGGTATTGAATTAGGTAAATTATTTTCATTTTGAAATTCCGTTTGCAATTCTTTTTCATATTGCATAATAAATGATAATAACTCTTCAAAATCTATCATTTCATTAGTAACATATATAAATTTAATACGTGTGACAATTTTAAAAATCTAAGATCTTATCGTGTAACCCTCCAGTTGGCCTAGGCGATACTGGGGTAAATATCATCACGATCATACAAAAATCACGAGATGTACCTCATATATAATTAAAATTTATTTATCTGATATATCTGATAAATACATATAAACATGATAAATAATTATATATTATAATTGAATTTAAACATATAATCCCTCTTGATACTTATCATTTTTTTGAAAATTATTAAAATTAAATTGAAGGAAATTTTCATTATTATTATTATCATTCAGTTTTAAAATTTTCAAACATTCTCGAAATCCTTTTAACGTTTGTATGGTTGTTTCATTTTTACCATATAAAGTATCTTGGAGACTTAATATTAAATATGCTGGAATATGTCGTATTTCACACTTAAAAAAAAAATCGAAAAGCATAAAAGGATATCAACCACAACAAAATGGTGATTAAAAAGAAAATAAATTTTGAAATTTTGTTAGAGAATAATATATTCAATAAATAATAATTAATAAATAATAAATGATAATTTCTTACGTGACTCAATAATGCAGCTGATAAATTAAACGTTAGATTGGGAGGTTCATATAATTGAATTGAATCATCCTAATAATAATTATTAATAATTAATAATATAACCGATATTAATTAATTATTAATAATTATTACTTTATGCATATATATTTTTAATTATAATTTATAACTCAATTATTACCAATTTTGGTGCAGTGCTTGTCTTCAATAAACGATAAAGGGGAGGATAAATTTCTTTATGTTTAAAATTTGTTAGATATGAAGAAATTTTAAAAGTATCGAAAATGTATACTCTTTTTAAAATAATAATAAATAATAAATAAAATATTAATAAGTATTAAGAAATATTAATAAGTATCAAGTATTTAATTCTTCTTTTTCACCTTTCAGCCTCAATTTGGTCAAATAATGTCTTCACCCATGAAAAACATCTATCATCATTAATATTGTAATTACAAGGAATTATCGCAATATTTGGATTGGATTCCAATTGATAAATAAAACATCCTTGATTAGGATAAATTTCTTGGTTAAGAGTATTTTGAGTCTATTATTATTATTATTATTATTATTATTATTATTATTATTGAATTATTATTTATTATCATTAAAATCATTTAAAAAAATTTTTTTTAAATATTTAAATTGAAATTTACCAATTTTATTTCAGGCAACAAAATAGATCCAATTATTAACTTTTTATTATTAACAACTAAATCCAAAAAAATGTTTCCTCCATGAATTCCAATCAATAATATATCAAATTTCAATTTATTTTCTATTGATATCTTTTTATTATTTTTATATGTTGATGATATACGTAAAAGTGGAAGTCCCAAAGGAATACTTGGTTTTCCTTTAAGAGATTCTACTAATTCTTCTTCATATTCGGAATCTTCATCATCGTCATAAGCAAAACGAACTGGTTGTATTCTATCAAATTCCTAAATTAAATTAAATTAATTATTTAGTTAATTATTTAACTAAATTATTAATAAATATATATAATGTTTAGTTTTAAATTAATCAAAGATATTAATGATATTTATAAGTTTATTTTCAATATTTTCAAAGAACGTAAAGAATGAAAATTTATTTACCATTGAAAAATAATAATAATAATAAGATAATGTACGCGTGTGAAAGATTTTATATAAATCCGACTATAAATTCCACCAATCAACGTGTTTTTTTCCCTCATAAGAATTTTCTTCGAATTTCTAAATATTCTTTAAAAATGTATTCCACCGTACCTTCAAGCAATTTGGCGAATGGGCAAAAACTCAAAAATGTTCGTATTTATATATACATATATAGAACTTTTTATTTTATTTTTATTTGATATATGTTAATTATTTTAATTATTTATGTAGAAAATTCAAGAAACCGAAAATATCAAAAAATCTAATAATAGCATTAATAATAATAATAATAATAATAATAATAATAATAATAAACAAAAAAAACGGAACGGGGATGATTGTGATAACGATAGTTCATTAAAACTAACTAAGAGACGAAAATTGAGGCAATTTCTTAATTTGGTTATAAATTTTATCTTAAGTAATTTTAATTTTAAAAATTATTTTAATATTTTTAGTAATGGCAACAAGAATATTAAGGACATCAAGAGTATCAAAGATAGCAATGTAAATGTTCCCGAGAAGAAGAGGATCAAAGTTAAGGCTCCCGAGAAGAAGAGGATTAAAGTTAAGGTTCCTGAGAAGAAGATGATCAAAGTTAAAGTTCCCGAGAATAAGATCGACAACAAAAATATAAATATTGGGAGTTCATTAACATTGAATTCTGGATCGACGCCTAATAATCATGACAAGTAAATATAATTTATTTTTTATATATAATTTAATATACACATAATTAATTTACTAATTCATATTATATTATATAAAGACTTGGAAAATTTATAGGACTTGATTGTGAAATGGTTGGAACTGGACCTAAAGGAAAAAAATCAGCATTGGCGAGAGTTTCAATAGTTAATTATCACGGAGTTGTAATATTGGATAAATATGTACGTCCATTGGAATATGTCACTGATTTTAGAACCAAATATAGTGGAATTACACCTTCATTACTTGTTAATTGTAAAGTATTATTATTGATGTGATGTGATTATTTATTATTCTCTTACTTTTCTTACTCTCACTTTTCTCACTTTTCTCACACTTTTATTTAGCTCATGACTTTAAGGAAGTTCAAACTGAAGTAGCAAATATAATAAAAGATCGAATAGTTATAGGTCATGCTCTTCATAATGACTTTAAGGTAATTATCATTTATTTGAATATTTATTGTACATTATCAGTTATATTATCAATGATATTAATTTGATATTAATTTTTATTGATTTAAATATATTGTTTATAAAAGGCTTTATGTTTAAGTCATAAACATGCAATGAGACGTGATACTTCTTTATTTAAACCATTTCGTGAATTAAGTAAAGGGCACTCTCCATCTTTAAAATTATTAGCTCAAGAATTTCTAGGAAAATCAATTCAAGATGGACCACATAATTCTGTAAGTATTCATTCATTCCCTCTATCTTTCTCCCGCCTTTTCTTATATATCTCTGTCTCTCAAATTGGTTTCTTTTATTTAGATTGAAGATGCGCAAACCTGTATGATGTTGTATAAGAGTTTTAAAAATCAATGGGAGGACATGTTATTTACAAAATCGCATTTACCTTCAAAAAATCAAACCGCAGATGTTAATAAGAAAATAGTAGATGTTAGTAAGAAAATAGTAGATGTTAATAAGAAAACAGTAAATGTTAGTAAGAAAATAGTAGATGTTAATAAGAAAACAATAAATGTTAGTAAAAAAATGGTAAATGTCAATAAGAAAATAGTAAATGTCAATAAGAAAATAGTAAATGTTAATAAGAAAATAGTAAATGTTAATAAGAAACAATTAGAACTAGAATGGAGTATATAATAGTAAAGGATAGTAAAAAAAAATACATAGTAAATTTTTAATATTTATAATTTTTTTGATTACGATAATATTTAAATATTATATACAGAGTAAATTATATTGTGAATAATAATATTAAATAAATAGTCGTGTATGTCAAGCATTAAAATAATAATAAAAAAAAATAGTTTTTAATCTACTAACCGCATCAACATAATTTTTACAGAGGGAAATAATAATTTATTCGCTTAAATTGCTTAAATTCCCGTAATAAAAAGAGTTAAATATATATCCAAATATAGATATATATTATATAACAATCCCTAGGCACTCTTAAAATCAGTTAAAACACTTTTCGCTAATTGTCGAACTCTACTACGATTACCACCATTATTACTACTACCACCACCACTACTATTATTAATAATATGATTACTAATATTATCACCAATAAATTGATACGGTATTATTTGTAAAAATGATGGTAATCTTCCTCTTTTAAAATATATTGTTGTTATTATAATTATTATAATGCAACAATTTACTATTGCATGTTTGGCGATTATCTATAAAATATATAAAATATATAAAATAATTTATTATTATTATTATTATTATTATTATTATCATTATTATTATTAACTTATTAATATAATAATAAATAATAATGATCAATATAATTGGATGGATGATGATAATAATAATAAAAATAATTTAATTAATAACAAACCCTAAAGAACCATCCAACACTTCTTTTCATTTTTTGTATTTTCTCTTCACGTTCTATTAATTCTCTTCTTAATCCTTCTATTCTTTCATGTGAAGCTGAAACTTCCGCTTGAATTTGTTCAAGTGCTTTTTCTATTTCACTAATTCGTCTTATTATATCTGATTTTTGTATTTGTTCCATTGTTTTTTCTAATTCCATTACTCGTTTTTTAAGTGTTAACTCATCTAATTCATCTAAGAAATTATTTTCTTCATTAAATATTTCTGCTGCTGCTTCTTCTTTTTCTTGATCATTATAAAGTTTTTGTTGTAATTCCCTTTGTTGGGGTAATGATGTTATTGATGATGATGATAACTGTTGCCGTTGCGTTTGTTGTAATTGTTGCTCTTCTAGAGGTGTATAAAAAGGTTCATCTGTTGATACTGGTGATTTATTAGAATCAAGTTGATGTGTCTCTAATCTTTGTTGTTGTTGTTGTTGTTGAACTATTAGTAATGATTCTTCTCCCTGATCCGAATTATTTTCATTATGATTATTATCTACATTATTTATTATAAAAAGAAATATTAGGAAAAAATATTTAACATTTTAATGAAATATATATATATATATATACTTAATGCGCCTTCGGTCATTTTTTTATTTATTATCTTGGAAAGTGCAATTACAATATTAAATTATTATTATAGATATTAAAGAGATTTAAAGGTATTTATGGTTATCAAGGTAAATAAAGATATTTAAGATATTTGTATTTATACTAATGTTACAAATTTTCATAATAGACAACAAAGAAAGACAAAATTAAAAAAAAACATTGAATCACCCCTTTCTGGTCTCGGGGTTTTTAATGAACACAATAATGACGTGCACGTGGCGTCACAGTAAATTAACCACGTGATAATGCATTGATGTTGAAGTTTCGTCGATTTAAAGTAACTATTGTTATAAGATCATAAAAAATGTTATATGAAGAAACAACTTAAAGATCAATATTCTGAAATGAAAACTGAAGTAAAAAAACTTTGGAAATAAAAATCAATTAATTTCTTGTAAAGTTTGTAAAGTGTAATATATTAATTCGGGTAGATATTTTTTAAGTAATAATAAAAAAAATTGACTCTTACAGGGACCCATGTAGGAATCGAACCTACTAAAGAAATATATTTAATATATCTTTAAACCATTTGGGACCTTTTTGATAATGCAGAAGTCAAATAGAAAAAGAAACTGCAATGATTTTTAAGACCAGTAAAAATCGACTGGACAAGTTTTAAGGGAAAACTGTAACCCATGTCAAATGCTCCAAATTTTTCAAAATTTTAATTAGAATATTTCAATAATTATTTGCTAATATGCTTAATTTTTTTTTTTTTTTGCGTATTTCAAATAATCCTGTTTGAAATATTCAATTAATAGGTTGTCCGATTCTTCACATTCTACTTTAAGACCAGTAAAGGTTAACTGGATAGTTTATGGTAACTATCACCGCAATTTTTTTATATAATAAGTTAATTTATTATAAAGGAAAAAGCTAGCAAACCGCTGGGGTGCGGGTAATTATTAATATAAAGGAACGTTCACAAAAAAGTGGCCCGAAGAGCTTCCAGCTTCATATAAACAATACCCTCCAAAGAAATAGAAATCTCAATTGAGTGTTAATATGAAGGACGTTCACATATAGTGGCCCGAAGAGCTTCCAGTTTCATAAAAACAATATCTCAAGAGTTTGATATTTGCAATGGTCCCCAGGCCTGGATCTCTGTAGGAATCGAACCTACTGGGAAAGAATCCCAAACCATCGAGATCTTTTAATTAATGAATTCCATATGAGTATATTAAATCGCCTTTGGGTAAGAGAAGAATACTTGCATCAACTATTTCCTGAAGGAACCATAGGGAGGATATAGAAAAAGAGGAAAAGGATAAGAGGAGAAGTAGTAATATAGAAAAAGATAAGAAGCTGAAAGGAAAGAGAAGTAGGATATAGAAAAAGAGAAGAGGCTGAAAGAGGAGAAGTAAGGATAGAAAAATGGTTGAAAAAAAGATGTTCAAGCGGTTTTTAATAGATGAATGTAATTGTAACATACACCATTTGTAACAACTAACCAAATAAATTTATTTATATTTAAAAAATAAAAAAAATGATAATTTTATTTATGCATCGGAGATAATAAACGTAACATTAACCAATAAAAAATTTTCCCTATCAACAAACCATTTCTTTTTTTCAAAAATCGCATATGGGAAAAAATTCAAATAAAGAAATTTTTACTAATAAAAATTGCTGATCAGTTTCCTTTTTAGAATTTTCCCCATGAGTTATCGCCCATATGTCAATAATTGATATCTCTTTATGCACCCACGCATCCTTTTTTGTTACGTGGGGACCGCCTGGTATTCAACGTGAAAAGGAATATGCATCTACGGATTCTTAGGAAATTCTTAGAGGAATTTTATTGGTCATTTTGACAGATTGGATGCTGGGTTGTACTCCCTTGCAAATCTTCCGTGTTCAATGCACGTGTAAGACGAGGGAATGCGGAAAGGGTTACGTTTGTTACCATCTTGAAATGGTGGAGTAACATTGAAATTTACAAATTTGTATACGTTAATGACCCAACATTAACAGCGGAACAAGTATTAGATAAAACCTTTTAACGATAATGCCATATGATATTGCGATATGTAATCATGAGTTAGATTACTCGATTAAATAAGGGTTTTTTATATAAATAAAATAGATGATTTAGAAAGTAATAATTATTAATTTAAATTTTATGATTCTTTATTTCATCATTCCTTTAGCAAAGACCATTTCCAAAGATCCAATTACTTTTGCAACTTCTTTTTGTAAATTGACCTCTCCCCTCACTTTATCACGCAATGATTCTATCATGTTTTTAATTAAAGGAGACTTATCAATCACGGGAGCATAAACATCTATAAATTATATAATGTTAAAAATAATAACGTTAATATAATATTAAAATAATTGATGTTATGATTACAAAAAAAAATTAACATACCAATCAAGACTTCTCCGACATCACACAAAATACTTGTGTATCTGGGATCATTTATCCATCTTATCAAAAATTTAACTAAAGGTCGCAAAGAAGCATCATCGCGTCCTGCAATCGCTATTCTTAACGCGTCACGTTGAATAAGTTCTTGTAACATTGAAACCGTTAGAATAGCTGTTGTAGTCTGATTTGAATTAATATATTAAATAATGAATTTTTCAATTAATTACATAATTCATTATAAAGGATATAATTCATTTATCTTACCTCTTTCAGCACTGCATCAAGTGCGTTCGAATATTGGAACTTTTTTAGGTAATTATCGTATGAAGCTAAATGCTTTTTCCTTTTGGATTCTATTATGAAATCATCCTAACATTTTTGTACAGAATATTATTAGGCAGGTAAAATTTCTTTTTTTTGTGAATTATAAACCTACATGTATAATTAAATAAATAAAAATTTTCACTTTACCAAGGTTCCTTTATATGAACGACCTCGTGTAAAGTATTGATAAGAACCAACTCTTGGTTGTTTATCTTTACGAGATCTATTTTCTTGTAATGTTGTTTTTCGATGACGAATAGATAATGAACCACATGTCATTCCCGTTATAAAATTTTTCTCATCAGGCTTATAATAAATATAAAAAATATAAAAAAAAAAAAATAAATTTATGAAATTATTATCAATGAAAAAAAATGATAAACTGAAAATTTTTTAAAAGATTGAACTCTTACAGATAAAGCAAGACATAATATTGGAGATGGATATTTTATACTATGAACTACATCATAATCTTGAACATCATAAATTTTAACATGATGATCTAAAGAACCAGTAAGAAGACGTGATTGTGATTCATTAAAACACATAGAAGTAATTGTTTTCTGGTGATTCGATACTGAACGAACAACACGACCCCCTGCAATAATATCCCATACAGTAATTGTTGGTCCTCCTATAAAATATGATAAATTAATGAAATAATAATAAAATATTAAATAATAATAATTAATTAAAAGAAATAATTAATTACCTGCAGATATTATCATTCTTCCACTAGAAAACATCAAAACATCTTCTACTGGTGCATCATGTACCATAGAAATAGTACAAGAATTAGAACGCATATCCCAAAGCTTGATCGTTTGATCATATGAACCTGTCAAAACCAAATGAGGATTTTCATCGTTTATCACTCCTGCTCGTACATAATCCTAAATATATTTTTTTTTGTTAGATAAATTTTATAATAGAACTTCAATAAAGAAATAGAGAATAGAAATATTAACCTGATGTTCTTTGAATACCGAAATTGCTTCTTGTCCTGGTATATCCCATATACGAACTGTTTTGTCATCAGAACAAGAGAGAACCTGGGTATTCCCCGGAGCGAATTTTGTAATATGAACAGGTCTAAAAAAGAACAAAATTAAGAAATTTTTTGATAAATAAATGCTTGCTTGCTTCTTTAACATTGCATACCAATCTGTCGATAATTATTATCTTCTAAATTCGAAAAATTCGAATTGCTCACAGGTTATGTCCACGTAACGTTCTTAATATGGCTCGACTATTAATATCGAATACCTAAATAATATGTTAAACAATTCAGTTCTCTTTAATGTATAATAATAAATAATCATCAAGAATATCTGAAATTTATAAAAATAAAATTTATTTACTTGAATTAATCCGGTAGCATCACCTGCTACTAAAAGTTGACCGTCGTTTCGTATAGTTCCACAATAGGCAACATCATTGAATCTCGATATACTTTTTTTTACTTTGAAGTTTTGTGCTGAGTATATTTGAACACGGGTTGACGATGTAACAGCAAAATCGTGTGGTGATATAGGAGAATATTTGATGGAAGTTACAGAGGCAGCTTCCGAAAGTGTGGAGTGTACCTTGGAATGTATAGATTTTATAGTTTTTTTTTTTTTTTTTATATCAATGTTATAATAAATCTTTTTGATTTTATCTCCATCTTTATTTTATCTTATTTTTATCTTACCTTAAATTTTTTCCAAAACTTAGATTCTTCTGTATCCTTCTTAATCGGTACAGCAAACTTCCTGATCGATAATTTTTTATAAGAACTCATTATGTTTTAGAAATTTTATTGATAATCTAGTATAACTAATAAAAAAATATGTATACTTTAATTTTATTGGCTAATTATAAAGGTTGTTACAATTATAGTTGTTTCAAATAGATTTATTCAAATTTATCGATAAAACATTATAAATCTAAAGATATTTAAAGATATTTGTATTTATACTAATGTTACAAAGTTTTATAATAGACAACAAGAAAGACAAATAAAGATACAAAGAGACAAAATTAACGAAAAAATAAAAAATATATTGAACCACCTTTCTGAGTCTCGGGTTTTAACGTGCACGTGGTGTCGCATTCATTATTTGTGAATTCACCACACTAAAATTATCGACTTGAGAATTTAAAGCTTATGATAGACTGTAAAAAATCTTAAATGAAAAGAAGCAACTTGATGAAAAAAATTTTTGAAAGCTAAAGTTAAAAAGAAAAACTTTAAAAATCAATTAATTTCTTGTAAAGTGTGTAAAGTGTAATATATCAATTCGAGTAGGGATTTTTTAAGTAATAATAAAAATTGACTCTTACAGGGACCCATGTAGGAATCGAACCTACTAAAGAAATATATTTAATATATCTTTAAACCATTTGGGACCTTTTTGATAATGCAGAAGTCAAATAGAAAAAGAAACTGCAATGATTTTTAAGACCAGTAAAAATCGACTGGACAAGTTTTAAGGGAAAACTGTAACCCATGTCAAATGCTCCAAATCTTTCAAAATTTTAATTAGAATATTTCAATATTATTTGCTAATATGCTTAATTTTTTTTTTGCGTATTTCAAATAATCTTGTTTGAAATATTCAATTAATAGGTTGTCCGATTTTTCACATTCTACTTTAAGACCAGTAAAGATAAACTGGATAGTTTATGGTAGCTATCACCGCAATTTTTTTATATAATAAATTAATAAATTAAATTATTATAAAGGAAAAAGCTAGCAAACCGCAGGGGTTTGGGTAATTGCTAATATGAGGAATCGAACCCAGTGGGAAAGATGACATACATACAGAATCCCCTGTTCCCCCGTGCAGCGTTTATTCTTTTTTGGAAAAGCTACTTAAAACCCCTGAGGAGTGAGCAGAAAACCAACCAATTCTTTCTTCGGAATCAGTAGCTTTTAGAGGTAAAGAGTGAATGTTACAACTCATTACAACTTAGTTGACTACACCCCAAATTAGTTTGAGCTCCAGTGCAAAGACCGGTCTAACCTGAAACCTAGAGTTATATCCCAACTTAAGGTTGTGCCCTACACAGTGGAAACCCAAGTAATTTGCTCCTCAGTAATGGTTATTGTAGGAATCGAACCTACTGAACAAAATGAAGTTCAAAACCATTATAACCGTCTTTGGGGATCAAAAATTATAAAAAAAATTCTCATGATATCATGTATACGACTTAAGAACAATAAGTAGAAATATTAAATAAGAACAAAAACGATAATATTATTTAAGGATAATGATAAATGAAATAGCATAACAAGATATTTGACAAAAAGCTACTGATGTGATAAGTTATTAAAGAAATAAATATAATTTTAATTTGTCAAAAGAAAGTTTTTGAAAAAAATATGGGAACAAAAATTTTTTAAGAAAAAAAGGAAAAGTTGGAAAAAGGATAGAAAATATGTTAATGGGCTTTATTTATAACTGATGAAAAAAATTTTTACGGAATAATAACCGTGGTATATCTGGAGACCTAACGATCATGATAATTCTAAAAAAGAGAAAAAGAGCGTCACATTAACAAATATTAAATAAATTTAATTATTAATATTCCCACGGAATAATAGTAACACTGTGGTATATCTGGAGACTAACGATCATGATAATTCTAAAAAAGAGTGTCACATTAACAAATATTAAATAAATTTAATTATAATATTCCCACGGAATTTCATAGTCTAATCAAAATTTAACAATGAGTGACCAATTAGTAAACGTGGTATAAACGATAATTATTGGTCACACGAAAATTTTTGCAGATACATGATCATTACAATTACATCATACATATTATAAAAAATATATCAAATATATTGAATAAATATTATTACATATGATATTATAGGAAAATTGATTACATTATTTCATAATAATTTTTTTTTGACATTGTTAAATCATCAACCAATAGATCAAAAAAGTTCTAATTATTTTTTATTTTATTAGTAATAACTTGTTATTTAACTTGAATTAATTTTTTTCCGCCTTCTAGTTAACCATTTAACTGATCTAACTTTGATTAAAAGGTTGATGTACCTCTTTAGATTTAGAATTAGGAATTACAAGGAACACAATTCACCAAAAAAGGTGATGCAAAATCATATTAGGATAATCAACAACCTTGTTACATATGAAAAGAAATCATTACAGGGGCTCGAAATTCTTTAACAAGACCGGGGTTTCGAAATTTTTTTTTTTTTTTGATAATCTTATCGCGATTTCCCATTTTACGAGCTTTTCAAAAAAAAAAATAAAAATAAAATAAAAATGGTATTGACCTTAACAAGACGTGGTTTGAAAAAAGTATATTTTCCTAACATAGTATTTAAACTTGTTCGGGCACCAAATTTGGCACCAAATCAAGTAGCTTTTCGTATACCACCAAATGTGAACAAACTTGACATTCGTGATTACTTAACTCACATATATCAAATTAAAGTTGTTGATGTACGTACAATGAATTATGCAGCAAAAAGACCAGTTAGGAAAAGAGATGGGGCAATGAGGGGTAAATATGTATCAAAATATAAGAAAGCAATTGTTACTTTATGTGATAATTTCAAATATCCTCCTATTCCTGATAAACAATCTTTGGACGAATATGAGGATAGGGCTGAAATTACTAGAATGAATTTTAGAAGATTAAGAGGATGGAAACCTAGACCACAAAGAATTAATATGCGAAAAAAGGAAAGATATGAGAAATTTAATGAGTCGACGAAAAAAAATGATTTAGAAGAATTAGATTAGAATTTGTATTTATGATAATAATTATAATAAATTCATCATATTTCCCTTGGTCTTGAATATAAATAGTTATTAAATTGGTATTTTGTCAAGTGAAAAATTTTATTTGCAAAAAAAAAAAAAAAAAAGAATAAATAAAGTATAAAAATATATAAAATAAATAAAAAATATATAAAATAAATAAATCTATTCTACTCGTTAAAATTCATGACAAAAATTCGTTATTAAGGAATTATAATTTACTTTTTGTTGGAATTAATTTAACGTAAACATCTGAGAATAAATGATTTTTTGGAACAAGTATATGATCTGATAAATTTTTAATATCGACCATTTCAGGTCTTATATCTTCTAATTTATTTACACCTGTTAGACGCATAATCATTTCAAATTCATCTTTTAATAATTGTATTGCTCTTTCAACACCAGCCTGACCATACGATGACATGGCATATAGAGTAGGTCTTCCAATACCAACAGCTTTAGCACCCAATGCAATGGCTTTAAATATATCAGTACCACGTCGAACACCACCATCTACGTATATTTCAATTTTATTTAATAATCCTTCTTTCTTTAAAGCTTCAACAACTTCAGGAAGAATTTCTATACCAGAACGAGCAAAATCTAATTGACGACCTCCATGATTTGAAAGTACTATTCCTTCACAACCATATTTAGCTGCCAAGACAGCATCTTCGGCAGTCTGAATACCTTTTAATACAATTGGCATAGAAGTAATAGATCTAAACCATTCTAAATCATCCCAATTTAAACCGGGATCAATAAATGATGAAATTGCTCGAGCAGCTCCTTGGTTTCGATTTACATTATGTTCATCATGAACATCCGGAGGTTCATCAACAAATTTAACGCGCATATCTTTTTCACGACGACCTAATTGCGGAGCGTCTACTGTAATGAAAAGAGCTTTACAACCTTTTTCTTCTGCAACTTGTACAATTTTCTTCGTAACATTTCTATCACTATTTACGTATAGTTGAAAAAAAAGGACTTGATCTTTTCCTTTAGCATTAACCATCTCGTCCAAAGAACATGATGCAAGAGTAGGTAACATTTGAATAATATTTTGTTTAAATGCGGCTCGAGTGAGAACAACCTCTCCTTCCGGATGACCAAGTTTACCTAAGGCAGTTGCGGAAATATATAATGGAAATGAAGAATGGTAACCAAGAATTTTTGTACTCATATTTATATCCTTGACATTTCTCATAACTCTTGGTCGAATCCAAATCCGGTGAAAAGCATTAGTATTCTCACGAAGTGAGATTTCATCATCAGCACCAGAACTATAATATGCCCATGCTTCAGGAGTTAATACTTGAGAAGCGACTGCCTCGAAGTCATATAAATTTAACATTTCTCCTAACGCCGGTTTTTTTTCAATCGCCAAATTACGTTTTTTATCCTCTTCAGTTCCAACCTTGGACGTTTTAACAGACGTGGCGGGATCTATTTCTCCAAGGCAAACCTCAGGTGGCAAATATTTTTGAATAATATCTGGAGGGTGAATTGGGTCAAATGCCTCAGTCGCGTCTTCACCAGCTTGTTTAAGAATGACTTTTTCACCACCAGGATGATCGGGAAGAAAGTTAGTTAAATCGTAAACTTTTCTGTGTATAATAACCCAACAATCATTACGTTTGTTGTGTTTTGCAACTTCTTGAGCTGATATGAGACGCATTTTAAACAGAATAATGGTCAAAGAAAACGAAACGAATGATCATTTTTACGGCATTTTATTGAACCATTTCCAATAATTTTTCCGTGTATTCACGTGAAAAATCATTTGTACAAGACAGAAAATTTTTTTTACCTATATAACATCCTTAAATAATTATCAAGGAGGGCTCAACCAACGAAACGTTTAATTAAAAGATCTCAATGGTTTGTGTTTCTTTCCCAGTAGGTTCGATTCCTACAGAGATCCTAGTCTCTTGAGAATATTGTTTTATGAAACTGGAAAACTCTTGGGGACATTATATGTGAACGTCCTTCATATTAGCACTTAATTGAGATTTCTATTTCTTTGGAGGGTATTGTTTATATGAAGCTGGAAGCTCTTCGGGCCACTTTGTGAATGTTTCTTCATATCAACAATTACCCGCACCCCAGTGGTTTGTAAACTTTTCCTTTATAATAATTTATTTTATTTATATAAAAAAATTGCGGTGATAGCTACCACAAACTATCTAGTTTGTCTTTACTTGTCTTAACCTATTAATTGAATATTTCAAACAGGGTTATTTGAAATACGCAAAAAAATTAAACCAAGATATCGGTCCTGGAATTATTTTTATATGGATAGTTTTTATTATATTATTATTATTATTATTTTTTATTTGCTTCGATTATCTACTTATTTAATATTCCAGTCATCATTATTGTTATTTTCTCATAGTTATTATGTTAATATAAAGAATTTTAATTATATATTTTGCTTTCGAAAATTTTAAATAAAATTATTTTCAATTGCAAGCAAAAAGTTTTAAATTAAGTGTAATAAAGATAATGCACTGTGCAGTTATCGATATAATTCAACAATGTGTTGTGGAAGTTCAGATAAGTTAAGATGATTGTGGCAATTAACAGGAATATAGAAAGTTGATAAGAGTGTAGAAGTAAACAAACAATTAGAAATCCTCGGTAAAATTGTACAAAAAAAAAAATTTTTCAACTGAATGTATTTATTTGTGAATAAGATCATACAAAATCCAGAAATAATCGCGCAATTACATCGCGAAAAGATGTTATTTGGAACTTGCTGATGACCTAATTGAAATGGAGAACTTTCTAGGAGATGAATTATTTTAAAAAATTTTAAACCGAATTATATGATATGAATACAATTGTATATCAGAAAGTTTTAAAGATTAACAAAAAAGGATAGGTATAAATTAATCAAAAAATAACAATAAAAAACGGTGAAACAATAAATACAATATTAATTCAAGTAATTCTTCAATAAAATAATACTAAAAATAACATAAATAAAGCAGGCGTTCAACGCAGTCTCAATTTATGGACCAGGTAATTTGATGTTCAATGTCATGAGAGATGGATGAATGTACTTAGTCTTGAAATAATGGGCCAATGAAGTTAATATTTTTTTATTTATTTGTTTATTACATTTTTTGGTAATTTGTTAGTTGAGATATCAATAATTATTATTATAGGAAGACGAAAATTTAGTATAAAACATAGGATTAGGGAAGTGGTCAAAGATTTCAACTTTTATAGATAAACGAACAGACAATCAGACAAATTAATTGATGACCCATATACATTATTTATTTATTTCAAATATATTAAGATTTATTCATTATTATTTATCATGTTAGTGTTGGAGTCGATATAAGATATTGAAAAAACAAACTGTGAAAAAGAACATTAACATTAACAAATCTCTAATTTAGAAAATAAATTTATAATTTTAAATGTACATCTTAAAATGATATTTATTTTATGTATTTATTCTTATATTTTACAAATGTCAAAAAATAAATTAAAGAGAAATAAAATAATGTAAAGTAAAATTTTTTCCGTTTTTCCTATGATATTAAAATGCTTACATTATAATTATCGTTTCTTGATTTCCAGTTCGCGTTAGGAAATCTACAAATAGAGAGACGACGCACAGGCGCAGCGATCAACACAGTCCTATACGCCGCCATTAGCAATAAATACAATAATGACAATAAACAACAGACAAATAGAATAAATAAAATAAGTAGAAAAACACCCACTATCCTAGTATTTTCCACTATCTTCTAAATCTTCTAAAGTTTCTTTCTTCCAAACCTACCTCAAATATCGTTATCCTAATATATGTGAAAAAGAAAAAAAAAATAAAGGTTAATATTATAAAATTCAAAGATCAAGGAATAAATTAGGAAAATGGAAAAACGGAAAAATGAGAAAAAAGTGAGAAAGTGAAAAGTGAAATTAAGAAAAAAAAAGAAAAAACCAGAAAAGCGGAGGTTTAAATATGTTTTTTTCATGAGAAAAAAAAATATGATTTTCTTAAAAGTTTCTTAGTTATGTAGTAATGCATGCATAACTTTAAAAGTTTCTTATTTAAGACAATCATATGCAAACTTTTGTAAATAAAAAGATGATTATCTCATAAAATTTCCTTTTTTGAAAAACAAAGTAAAAAAGTAAAGGTTCTAAATACATATTCATAATAATACTCTTTAATATTATTAATATTAAATTGTTCACGTATGTATGATTTTTTTTTTATTAAAATATATTACAATTGTTAAAAGACTTAGATGATTTAAATGATAAAATTTATTAATGAAATGTAAATATTGTAATTATGAAGTTACTAAAATAATAAATAAATAAAATAAAAATTAGATGTAAATTTTTAATTGGGATTTATTTAAGAAATTAAAAAGAAATTAAAAAAGAAATATTGTTTTAATTCATAAAAAATCATCATTTTTAAAATCTCTCATGTAGAGGTCAACTTTTGATAGATTTATGGTTATTTTTTTGATACATTCTTATTTTGATACGTGCGCAACTAATTAGTTCATGGACACGTGTATTCATATTCTATATATATCATGTGAACAATGTATATTAGTTGTATCACATTACTTAGTATCAAAAAGATCTATCAAAAACGAAATCTTTGTCCCGCTTCTCGTAAATATTTGGTCAATACTTCTCGGTCAGCATGTGGTAACACATCGCATAACTTATTTAAGGCAGCTTCATCAACAATAATTGAATTAGATTGATTGATGAAATTCTTTTCTTCAATAGTGTACTAGAAGTAGGCGGCGAACTTGATCCAAAGTTAAATCTTGAAGTAACAGATTGAAAACTTAGACGTTTGGGTAAAGTATTTTTTATTTTTTTGAAGATTTTGTGGGTGAAATGATAAGAGAAGAGGAAGAATTCATAATTGGATCATTCATTACAGGTGGAGGCATATTAATAAGTCAATTAGATTTATTATTATTATTATAACTAGCATTTCGATTCAAATTACCAAGATTAACAAAATTCGGGGAAGTTTTTATTTTAGGTGATATGGGTGGTGACATTGGACGTCCTCGTAATGAAATTTTTTTTTTTTGAATATTCCTATCTAAAGATTTTCGGGATGATGATGTTGATGATTTGGTTGAATTCGTCAAAACCGACAATGATGGATTATTATGTCATTAGAATTATCTAAGGAATCTTTTGAAATTGATAAACTGGTTGACTATTATTCTTTGATACTAATAGCTAAAGGATTCGAATAACTTTTGTCTGCAGAAGAGGTTTCTTTTTCATAATCTATAGAAAATAGATAATGAATGGAAAGGAAACGGGAAGAAAAGAATAGAATAATGCTACATAATGATAATAATGATATAATAGATATAATAATAACACATCCTTGAAAATTAATCATAAAGGTAGGTTCTTTCAATTTAATCTATAAACGTAAACCAGTATCTTCTTGTTATCTATGTTATACACATTTATTATAGAGATCGGCGATCTGCATCTTTCCAATAAATAGCTGAGGCTCAGAAACATGTATCTTTATTTGCTCTATTATTAAACTTTGTAACATTAGTATAAATACAAAATACAAATATCTTTAAATATCTTTAAATACTTTGTTATTAATGGATCTCTTTACGATTCGTGAACTATTTTTTTTATTAATTTAATGTCTAGTTATACCCTACTTCTCTTTCCTTTCAGCCTCTTCTCTTTTTCTATATTCCTACTTCTCTTTCGGTCTCTTCACTTTTTCTATATCCCCCTATGGTTCCTCCAGGAAATAGTTGAAGCAAGTATTCTTCTCTTACCCAAATGCAATTTAATATACTCATATGGAATTCCTTAATTAAAAGATCTCAATGGTTTGGGATTCTTTCCCAGTTGATTCGATTCCTACAGAGATCCAGGCCTGGGGACCATTTCAAACATCAAACTCTTGAGATATTGTTTTTATGAAACTGGGGCCACTTTTTGTGAACGTTCCTTTATATCAATAATTACCCGCACCTCAGCGGTTTCCTTTATAATAATTTAATTTATTAATTGTTTATATAAAAAAATTGCGGTGATAGCTACCACAAACTATCCAGTTAACCTTTACTGGTCTTAAAGTAGAATGTGAATATTTCAAACAGGATCATTTGAAATACGCAAAAAAAAAAAAATTTTAAGCATATTAGAGCATTTGACATGGGTTACAGTTTTCCTTTAAAACTTGTCCAGTCGATTTTTACTGGTCTTAAAAATCATTGCAGTTTCTTTTTCTATTTAACTTCTGCATTATCAAAAAGGTCCCAAATGGTTTAAATATATATTAAATATATTTCTTTAGTAGGTTCGATTCCTACATGGGTCCCTGTCAGAGTCAATTTTTATTATTACTTAAAAAATCCCTACCCGAATTAATATATTACACTTTACAAGAAATTAATTGAATTCACTGCTTATTTGTTACGCTGAGCTTGTTAGTGTAGCTTGTACTATTTGTTTGTCAAACATTTTGTTGTATAAGTGAACCATTAACTTATTTCTTTTTGTATCATTTTTTGAAGCCATTATTTCCTTTTTATATCGTGTATCTTTCTTATAGAAAACATCTTTTTCATCACTTCTTGCAATATAAAAATTCATTTGTGACAATAATAAATCCATTGATATTTACGAATTTAGTAGGTATTTCTTGATATGGATAGATTTTTCGTGACAAGACTCACTTGGATTTGTATTTTTAAAATATTCTATATTAATAGTAATAGAACTTATAGGATTTATAAGATATACACGTATAAAATACCAACATTATGATTGGTTGATGTGTAATTTTGTAATTTATACGGGTCACCTTATTAATTTTCATGATGTCATATAACCATATAAGCCTTAGTTTAGATTTAGTAGGTCAGGTGAATTTTTTATTTTTATTTTTGGTTGTCATCAACATTAATCATTCTTTTTTAGTTTGGATTTTTTTAAGGTTTATTTGTATCCCATTGCAGAATACTAATTATTATTAGTTTTTTCAATAGATTTTTTTGAGTTGGCATATGTGGATTTCCTTTATTTTTAGGTAAGAAACTTTATTATTATTATTATTTGTTCCTTATTATAGAAAAAGATTATTTAAATAAATTTTCAATTGAAAAAAAAAATTATAGTTTAATCTGTTTATTATTCTCTGGTTAATGTTAATTCTCAATAGACCCTAATCTTTAGTAAAATTTTTGTAATATAAATAAATGTGCTTGTTTGAATGTTAAAATTTTACAAGTAGGAACATTGCAATTTTGGATTTTTTAATGATTTTAATTTTTTTATAATAAATTAATAGTTTTATAGTAAATTTATAGTAAATTAAACAATGATTATTGTTTAAAAGTAAATTAACCAATAATTATTTCCTTTTAAATTAAAACGGACTCATGAACCAGACTAAGCCATGATCTGTAAGGGGCCTTGGCTTTTGAATGTGAGTCATGATTTAAATTAGTAGAAGCCTTCAGTCTAAATTTTTTTTTTTTTTTTTTTTTCAAAAAATAATAGAATTTTGCAAAATTCTTTTAACATTTATCTCGCATCATCAGAAATTAGGTTTATTGTGTTACATCATTGGGGATTTTTTTGGGTAATGAAATAAGAATAAAAAACGCGAATGTTGAAAATTAAAAAAATTACATCATAATTCTAAATTTATTTTCCGAATTTAACCAGAAATAGATCATCTATTATATATAAATTGATCATCTAACTAAATTCAGAAAATAAATAATAATATTTTTTCCATTTTTGATTAAATGGCTCGAACATCATCAACCACTTAATTGTTGTTGGTTCATTATTATAAAATATCGATGACTTTCGTTTTTAACGAGAATTCCGTTGAACAATGAACTCAGTTTTCAAATTCGTATCCTCGGTCAATAAATTTTATAGTGAAATAAATTCTGCGACTCTTTCTGGTGCAATTGATGTTATAGTTGTTCAACAACCTGATGGAGAACTTGCCTGTTCTCCTTTCCATGTAAGATTTGGAAAACTTTCTGTCTTAAGGCCACAAGAAAAAAAGGTATATACATATTTAAATTATAATCGCTATTTTTTTATGAGTTCAAATGGTACTTAATTTTTTGATCTTTTGATAGGTCGAAATGACAGTGAATGGTAAAGTTGTTGACTTTCCAATGAAAATCGGTGAGGCAGGTGAAGCCTTTTTTATTTTTGAGACCGATAAAGTAGTTCCAGAAGAATTACAAACTTCACCACTTGCAGGACCCAGTGATCCTTCGCCGGACGTTGAAGTAATTAATATTTGATTTAGTCATTATTGTAAATTTGTATCATTTCTCCTAAAATAATTTTTTTTTAGGAACCCGACTTTCTTGATCTAGGGGAATTAAATGGGGCAACTTTACCTATTTCAAATGAGACAAATGAGACAATTGAGGGAACCGAGAAAAATGAGAAAAATGAGACAAACGAGACAAATGAAGCAATCGAGATAAACGAGCCAAACGAGACAAATGAGATAAACGAGACAAATGAGATAAACGAGACAAATGAGATAAACGAGACAAATGAGACAAAAGATACAAACGAGGCAATCGAGACAACTGAGATAAATGAGACAGACGAAACAAATGATACAAACGAGACAAATGAGACAAACGAGACGAATGAAATAAATAAAATAAACGAGGCAAATGTGGTAAATGAGATAAATGAGGAAAATAATGAGATAAATGATACAAGTGAGATAATTGAGAATGAGATAAATGATACAAATGATCTCATTAATGACCCTGTTCACAAGAATACAGTTAATTATGGTATAATTTCAATATATTGCTAATGAACTTTTTTTTAAAAATATAATATAATAAATTAATGAATTTTTAATTATATAGATAACAGTATGGAAGATGGATATGAAGGAGATACTGAACCAAGAGCTCGCATTCCTGAACGTGAGAAAAGGGCCGAATTTGGTGTAATAACACAAGAATTTAAAGCTCTTAATATTTCCCACAGCTTAACATCTGATGAAGAAATGGAAATACAAAATACTTCACTTAAAGATGATTTTAATGGAATAATGAAAGATTTTACAAAAGATCAAGATAATAAAAATTTAGATGTTCCTATTATAAATCAAGATTTAAATTTAGAATCTGATGATGGATCTGAAACAATATTTACCTCTAGTGATCAAGCTGATATGAAGTTAAGTAAGTAATCTATCTTTGCTTAAAAAAAATTTTTTTTATAATAAAATTATAATTAAATTGTTCACCTTTCATCTTTTTAATAGGTGATGATAGTGAAAAATATGAAAATTTAAATATTAAAGATGCAATAAACAAAAATAAATTGTTTACAAGTACAAATTCCCACTTAAGTGAGTTTTTTTTTTTATATATATATATTTATTTTACATATTAATATATTTTATTTTTTATGATAAAAAGAATCAATAAAATGAATAATCATAATGCAATCATTTCATCGAATAATCGATGTTAACCTGTAGAAGTTCAACTTGATGAAATAATACCTCAACCAAATGATGAAGATTCTGAAAATTCAAGATTGAATTGTGGAAGAGCTTTGTCTATTTCAACGGTCCATCAAAATTGTTCGTGCGTCTTTATTCTTTGCAATATTTTATTCTATAATTTATAAGCTTCATGGTTTGTCACGGACGTTCGTTGATTTTTTTTAGGAATTAATTTCCTAAAATATTTCTCTCAACAAAAACCGTCCTGTTGCTATCATATGCTTTTGAATTATTGTTGGTTTATTAAAAAATTTATTAAGATTTTATTAAGCATCAGATATATTTGTACTCTTGAATTAATAGGGGCAAAATCAGAAGGTCCATTTTCTGATACTGAATTGGATGAAACGCGCAAGCCAGAAAAGCCGTAAGATGAATATAATATATATATATATATATATATATTTATAAATTTAAAGTATTTAAAGAATATCTTTAATTAATATCTTAATTTATTAGGATAGAGCGAAGGATGCACAAAATTAGTCCTTTAAGTGATACTGAATTAGAGGTATAAGAAGAATTATTAATAAGTTAATTATTAATAAATGAATAAATTGTAATAATTTTTGTCTTTAAAATTTTATAGTATGAACCTACTAAACCAGAAAAGAGTAATAATGAATGGTCATGGAGATGGGGAGCATTACCAGTAAGAACATCTGAAAAAATAGAACATTGGCAAGAAGGTACTGGCGATAAAGAATGGAAAGATCTTAAAGATCAAGAAGATTTGTCTGGTGTTGAAATTGGGGGGGAAACTTATCATTTTGAAATTTCGCTTTGTGGAAACAGTGGTTTTGGGAGAGATGAAGTAAGATTTAATTAATTATATAATTAATTATACTTTCTTTCATTAATTTTTTTTCATAAAATAATAATAATTTATAATCAATTAACAATAGAAAATGGATGCTGAGTTGTTCCGAAAAAAACTTGTTTCGTACGAACAGTTTTCCGAAAACCCGCAATTATTGAATGATAAATCTTTAGTTTTCAAATATGATAACAGGTTTCATAATGAATTTAAATCAATTTTTAATGATTTTCAGTTTTCACAACTATTCATTAACGTAATATTTATGATTATTAGATATTTCACAGGACCTGCGATATTACCCTTGATTACTTCTTTACTTGTGTTCAAAAAACCGCTTCCTGAAAAAGTGACAACTTCGTTATCTAATAATCGCCTGGAAGATTTGAGATCACCGGATCGAAGGAAATATAGTTTACGTAGTTGGAGTCGATGGTGGAATCGTTCAGCTAGCTCGCAACTTACAGATAATGAAGTAAAAACTAATGATGATAAAACAAATAATAATAATAATATAGAAGTTGGTTTTTTTTTTTTTTAATTTACTCTTCACATTCTGAGATTAATTTATAATTATTAATCTGATTATAAAACTAATTATAAAACTGATTACAGGAAAATGTTTCTTCTCAAGATACAAACAAATCAACTAAATTCTATGCTAAAACTCTTCGTTTAACGTCTGATCAATTGGTATATATCATTCTTTATTAACTTTGATGAAAAAATGCAATAATTGTAGCTTACATAAGATTTAATAATTCAACAGAAAAGCCTTAACCTTCAAAAGGGTGTCAACACTATGTCTTTCTCCGTCCCTTCTTCATATCAAGGCAAGGCTATATGTGTGGCTAAATTATTCTTTTGGGATCTTGATACTAATATTGTTATATCCGATATCGATGGAACCATTACAAAGTGAGTAAACATTGTCTATAGGTTGTATATTAATTGAATATTAGTTATCTATTATTTCGAAATATCAATTTATTAATGTAAATCTAATTAAAATTAGATCCGATGCTCTTGGTCACGTTTTTACGATGATTGGCAAGGATTGGACTCATTCTGGTGTAGCTAAATTATACACAGATATTCGTAATAATGGATATGAAATATTGTATTTAACGAGTAGAGCTATTGGTCAGGTAATTTATGAATATTATTTAATCTTTTGATGAAAATGTTATTTATCGCTGTTAAATATTTGATTACATATTATTGATATGGATGTAATTATAGGCAAGTTATACGAGAGATTATTTGGAGAAAGTTAAACAAGACAAATATCAATTACCTGATGGCCCCGTGATTATGTCGCCTGATCGTTTATTAACGGCTTTTCATAGGTACGCAAAAATTTATAACGCGAAATCCTTATTTCCTTACATGAAATTAACACATTTGAATAATATTCTAGGGAAGTAATAATGCGTAAGCCAGAAGTATTCAAAATGGCTTGTTTACGCGATGTTCAAAAGTTATTTAAGGATAGAAATCCATTCTTTGCAGGATTCGGAAATAGGATAACGGTACGTTATTTTATTTTATTTTACTTTGACTATTACTAAATGTTTAAAATGTTACTAAATTTAAAAATATTCTTAGGATGCTTTGTCTTATCGAAGTGTGAATGTTCCTTCATCAAGGATTTTCACAATTGATTCAAATGGAGAAGTAAAACTCCAATTATTATCAGGATACAAATCATCGTAAGTCCAAGAATTCTTTTTTTTAAAAAAGAATAGTATTAATTTTATTATTTTCATTATATTTGTCAGAATTTTTAATTCGGAATTTTTTTTTGATAATGTTAGATACATTGATTTAAGTGATTTAGTTGATCAAATGTTCCCTCATATCGGTAGTAAATGGGACACGGTATATAATGATTTTAACTATTGGAAACCCGAAATGCCAGAAATAGAATTACCTCCAGAAATTTATGATTCGTTGAAAGCATCAGAAAAACCACAAAAAGTGTCAGCTGTAATAATAGATTCTCCAAAACGGGGGATGATTCAAACATTGATTAGTGGTGGAAGTAACGGACAAACTCCAACCAATTCTGAGCCTACCTCTTCTTCGTCATCACTCAAATCATATGATAATTTATATAACAAAGATTTGCATGGTAAACGTAAACAACACTTGTTTTATGTTGGGGGAGATGTTGATATGCCAGGTCGAATGGACATTCTTCCAAAGAGCAATGGCGGTGGAACTATGATAGGATATTATGAAAATGACGAGGACGGAGATGATGAATATTTGACCGACGATCAAGAAGAAGATTTTGAAGAAGATATACCAGCAGAAATTGATTTATCCGACTTCCCCTATTAGATCTATTGGATTAAATAGGATTCTTTTTTTTTTGATTTTTATATTGAAAAATCTTGTTCTTGTACATTAGAATAATGTAAACTTTTAATTATGTATTATGTTATTATATTTATATTATGTATTATATTATATTTATGTAATTCACTTTGATTTTTATTTATTGTAATTTCAATATTTTCAAGAAAAAAAAAATAATACAAATAAAAAAAACGAAGTGAGTTCTAAATTAGAATTAAATAAATTTAAATATTTCATTTTGAAGTTAAAATTTTATTCTCTGAAAATCAATTATACAAACCACAATCTGTCAATATGGATTTAACAAAGGCATTATATATTTAAAATAAATATTGTCATTTTCTCCTTCAAATATAATAGCTTCATCGTCGATAATTTCTAGGATTCCGGAAAACGTAATTAATGATAGGAATTATTATTAAAGAATTTTTTTGGATCAATAAATCAAATTACGAACTTACTACAATGAATGTTATCTAGCTTGGGATCTTCTTTTGGCCCTCTTGATTGCAAGAATGTTAATAATTGCTGTCTATTCATAATAACAGATGCAAAGCTGTGGGGATTCTCTTGGGAATTTACTATCGATTGAAAGTAATAGAGTTAAAATATGAAAAAAAATAAAGCTTTGATAAATTATAGGCTTTTAAATGTTGTTAAAATACCTTGATGATTTGTACAATTTATAAATTCCATTGACATTTCATCTTCAGGTGAAGACAACTTAAATACACCTTTATTATTTGCTGACAACATTATTTTTTTTTTATCATAATATCCCATATATTCAACAAAGGGTGTAATTTTCCAACAAGGAGGAAATTCAAAATCTACCTGATAAAAATATATAATAAAGATAAATTAAATAAGAAAAAAACCAAAAAAAAAATGTTTCTCATTAACACACTTAATGACAAAACTTACATTGCATTCGGATAATTGAGGTTCTCTATAATTTCTACCACTTTCTAATGATGCAGGAACGCGAAACGTATATAGAACAATATTCTGATCAGGATTATCCTTTTTTTTTTATTTTTTTTATTAATGGTGTAATAATTTTTTTTTTTTTATAAAAATTATTAAGAATTATTAAACCATTTGCTAATTTGAATTTTTGGATATCTTCATACTAATTTTAATTGATCCAAACAAATTGCTTTATTTATTGAATCATAAGTAATTCGTATTCTATAATCCATTAAATTTAGATAACGTATGAATCGATGAAGATTCAAAATAAATGGAAATTCATCGTTTATATTTGTAATTTCAACAGATTCTAGGAAATCTTCATCATTGGGAAACTCGAGTACCCTTATTTCATCAATAGACACGTTTTTAATTAATATTTAATTAAAATTGATAATTAATTGTTTCGGTTTAAAATACTCACGAGTCAATATACAAAGCCTCAAAAATAGTACGAGTTTGATATGTAATTCTTATGCCAGTAGTTGTAAAGGTAAGGTAACAATTTTTGTCCTTTATTAAATTGTTGATAAATTTTAAATAAGCTACTCCCAATAAAAAGAAACAAATGCAGCATTAGGATAAACAGAAGTGGCTTGTTTATTTGTATTTAACCAAAATAAAATAAATAAATTAAATTAAATTAAATTAAATTAAATTAAATTAGAGTAGGGTCGAACATAAACCTTTAAATTTTGTCAAATCACGGAGAATGACTTTTAACAGCACCTCGTCCACTTGCTCTGAAAGCCCTGAAAGCTCTGAAAACATTTTCGTATTTTTCTTTGAATAAAATTAAGAAAATTTAACGTGATATTTATATACAGGTTTAGTTTCTATAAATAGATCTGAAATTCAAATTTTAAATCCCGTGCAGATTTAGGCATCCGCACAAATTTTTGCATTTCGATCTGGAAAAAAAATAATTATCCGTCTATTCTTTACCCACACGTTCATGCCAGTTCATCTGAACGGTGGACGATACTGAAGTGCGAAGGGGAGATAATCACTTAGTCATTTGACGGTAACTTCCTCAACGCATCCGCCTGTCTGCTGGTTTAACCATCTGGTGATCAGTTGATAGAGGTGCTAGTGGGAAGACTTCATTTAACCATCTGGTAGTGAATTTTCTGCTTGTAAAGTAGTTAGCTTCGTTTAGTCATTTGACGGCGAGCTAGTGGAGAATGAGAATGGTGATCTGATACTTTAACATTATCATATTTTTTTACGTAATATTATTTACTTACTTTTTACTCTCATCCCCTCTCGTTCAGCGAAATTTCAATCTGGTCTTGGCCTAATTCAAATGCTGATGTATTCTTATACACCTTTCGAAAAGCATTTCTCTGATCTTTAAACCATAACCATAATTCTTATTCAGGAAATCCTCAAAGGACAGATATATTTTTTTTTCTTTTGAAAACAGGTGATTGTAAGGATATCCATTTGCTTTTTTCTTTTATTAATTTTATTAACAAATATGTATTAATATCACATGATGTATTTTTCTTTTAGATAATATAGTTCGATTTTTTATTAAGGTATTTCTAATGTTAATACTTCATAATGTTAGTTTATTTTCTTAGTACTGATTGTGTTGGATTTCATATGCTAAAGAATTTATAGGTATGATTAAAGATTTTTATGGTCAATAGGAAAATTCGAAGATTCAGAAGAAAAGCGAAAATATATTATTATTTATCCTTGGATCATATTAATGAACATTCAGTACCATGTTCTATGTGCAATAAAGAGAAAAATATAAAGGGTGGTGATTATTTTGACGAACAAACTTATCGTTTCAAATGTTAAATAAGTTGTAACTGGATAACGCAGATTTTAAATTCTGACTCATCTCATTATTCACTTTGAACATTAATCACGGATTGTCGCGATAATTTTATACAGTAATGATATACTATATAAATAAAAATTTTTAAAGTAAACATCACATGATAAAGTTAAATATTGTGTTACTAAAAACATATTAAGTATAATGAATGAAAATCAATTAAAATAAAAAAATTACTATATATATAGAACTTCATTTTTTTATATTTTTAATGTCATTAAGTTTTATCTAAATACATAACATGGGAGAAGGCTAATTATGGTTTCAAAATAGTCTACTGTAATATTTACCCTTATTCGTAAAAAATACTTTAACTTTCATTATTGTTTCTTCATCTTATGAATTCTCTATAATATAGTTATATTAAAATTGTAGAATGTTGTAGACCATTTTTTCCTATAGTTTCAAATACGAAATATCAATAACAGTCATTGAACATAAAAAGGACAAGATGCACGAAAAAAGTTATTTAATTTGATAAAATAATAAGTTTTCTATATAGAAAGAGTTTCAGGAGGTTATTCATTATTCAATGAGTTAATAAACAAGAAATCGATCAATTATCATCCTCTACTGAATAAATGAGTCATCGTTGCAAAGCATAATTTTAATATTTCCAATTTTTATTTGAGTCATTATCGCGGAAAAAATTTCGGAAGTTAATAATACCATTTACAGAGAATAGATGTAACCTTAAATCTTGCATAAGTCATGTGATAATAACTTATAGTTAAAATATTTAAAATATTAATATTTAAATTTCTAAATAATAAATAAATAATACCAAATTACTTACTGTGCCAATTGCTTTTAAATTATATATAAAGCGTCATAAAGCATCTTGATCTATCATTTCATAAAGTCCAAATTACTCTCTTCAAAGTATTTTTCTTATAATTTTTAAATCACATCAAATATGAATTCAATTTCGTTATTAGAAATGAATGCAAAAGACATTATTCACTATATAAGAGGAAACAAAAGATTAATAAGTGGCAAAAATGCATTTTTTATACAATTAGAATTTTCTTTAAAGATGAAAACTATAGAATTTACAACTAATACATCATTAAAAGATCTTTGTCATGATCTTTGGATTTCTGCATCACCAGATCAAAGAAGAAAATTCGAAGTTTTGGCAAATAAAGTAAATTATCTTAATAAAAAATGCAAAAGGCGTTTATACAGACGACAACATGATAATAATAATCAAAATAGTTTTGCATCTGACTTGATCAATGGAATTAATTTTCCTTAGAATTATAAATTTTAATACTTTCTTAAAATGTACTTTTTTTTTAAAAATATTCTTTTATTCATTTTTTTTTTGTTAAATATAATTCTAAGAATTCTTTTTAAGATAATATGTGAATCAATTAAGAAAATTTTATTATTCTTTGTTTAAAATTATAATAATGCAAGATACTCGGTAAAGATATAATACAAACAATAAAATACACTCGGTCATTATTTTTTCAGATTATCACACAGATCATGATTTAGTCATAATGTTTATTATTTATTTATTTTTTCCAGTTAATTTACTACAATTCTTTGTTATATTTTCCCAATATTTCGGCATAATAAACGTTTCTAAACATATGAAAATTACTTGTAACCATTTAAGGACAAACATATACCAAATTAGGAAATGGTCTTATCTAAAATGGTAAATTATGCGTTGATCGTGTTTAATATGTGAGTTCATATGACTTGAAAATTTCCAATTTGAATATTTCCCGCTGATCTTTCGTAAAATGGCTCTAATACCTTATTTAATGATTTATTTGAGTGACAATTTTTATTCTTTCAATTACAAAATTCAGAATATATCTTTTTATGTCAAATTACTATTGTAACATCTTTATTTAATTAATAAAAATTTAATTTTAGATGTAATACAACAGAATTATAATAAAATCAAAAAAAAAATCAATAATATCTATACTAAATACTATATGTACTATATGTGCCTTCTTCAGAGTTACGTCATACGTCTTACCTAGTTACGTCATATAATTTATGAGAGTCTCAAATTATATCATAAATTATATGACGTAACTAGGTAAGACGTATGGCGTAACTAGGTAAGACGTATGACGTAACTCTGAAGAAGGCACATATAGTTAGTGTTGCGATCCTAATTTAAAAGACCATCCGAATTCAATTCAATTAAAATCCGAATTATAAATCCTAACCAATAATAATATATAATTTTAAGATCACATGTTATTTTAAAAATCTAGGCATCTGGATTAAGGATCACAACACTATGTATATGAGACTACGTCAGTAATACTATTTATTTACATTATTTGAAATTCAATGTGCGCGCTAGCACAAAATCATCAAAATTTGCACATGTATTTAAAATTAATATGTGCACACTAGCGTAAATTTCAAACACTGCTTTTGAGTCTAGGATCTTCTTTTTAATGTTAATAATTGTTGTCCATAATAACAGATGCAAAGCTTGCTGGGATTTTCACTATCAATTGAAATAATAGAAGGGATAATAGAGTAATAAAAAACTTTGACGAATTATAACTTTTAAAAATACTTCGGTGATTTGTACAATTCCCAAATTCCATTGACATTTTATCTTCAGGTGAAGACAACTTGATTATTTGCTGAATCTAATATGTAGATTATAAAATTAATATATATATATATTACTAAATTATTTACCTTTGAAATTCGGTATATGTTTAATCTAACCTTCAAATTTGTTTTTTAAAAAAAATAAATAAATCAATATCGGATATTAAATATGATAAGAAAAAGTAAAATTTATGTAACTTTTAGTAACTTTTACAAAAAATTTTGACGTTGAAGTACTCTTAAGCATTAAAAACATATATTAAGTATTCATACCGTTTCTCAAATTTGTTATAGACATTAAAGATATTCATGATTTCAAAATGCAAGATTTTAAATTCTTTAAAAGTTAGGTTGCATTGATATATGCTGTAAAAATAAGGTTGCATTGATATATACTTTAAAAATAAGGTTGCATTGATATACGCTTCAATTCATTTTATTAATTAAATAAAAAATTAATATTCAATATTATTTTTTCTTGGAATTCATTCTATGTCAATTTACAAACCATTCTAATAAATATATTGCAAACAAATAATACATATTAACAGTTACAGCTAATATAAAATTTATTAAGTAAAAAATACACAATACATATTAATCATCTTTACAAAAAATAAAAACCTATTATATAATAATTTTTCTATTAATAAAAATAATTTAATAATAATAATTAAATAGTTTTATAGTTTTTATATTTTAACAATGACTTAATGTTGAACAGATACTAGTTAAGAAAGCCAATACATCACCAAAGTCCATAAAATTTCGTCAACAAATAGCTCTTAATTTCTTTCTACTCTCAAACATCAGCTGAGAGGAGTTGTGTATGAAGAAAATTTTTATACGAATAGGAATAGACATAAATTCAATTCAGAATTTTCGCGAAAATTTCTGGAGATACCTGTGTCACATTATGAGCACACATTTTTGTGAAGATCATCATAAACATAAACAATTAGTCTACTGACTTATATTAGCATTATTGTTTCTTCCACAAAATATTACTTTCTATAATAATCGATCCCAAAGTAAGTAGAACTCCCGTAGTTTTAAATACAAAATGTCAATGAAAAGACGCAGCCATTGAACATTAAAAATAAAGAAGTGATAAGCAAGAAGGGTAAAAAAAATATTTTATTTAATTTGATAAAAATAGTAAGGTTATAAACTTTATATCTATATAAGAAGAGATTAAGTTTCAGAATTCAATAGAGACCATAATAGTATTAGAATTTCGCTCATCATTCTAATAATAAAAAGTCAGGTGTATATAATATTATAAATGAACAATAGTTGGTCATTATTTTTTGCGACACCTCTTCGCTTTTGCTTTTGAGCGAATCGGGATTGCATAGACAGAGAAATTTATTTATGATTGTATAAATATTGTTAATAATTTTAATAATTTAATATTTCAAATCCTTTTAGTGAATTAATTATTGGATTAACCTTAGAAATTGTTGCGTCTCTCAATTACCTAATTTAATGTGATGCATCCACGATTTAATTTCATAATTTTTGGGTTATTAAAAAAAAAAAAACCAGAATATAATGTGTTTCAAGAAACAGAATTGATTAATTGTAGATTTATTAAATCTATTGGGTTTTAAAATTTAAATTAATTAACTTCAATTTAGCTATAGCTTAAAACATTATTCCTAATTTTTTTATTTGATTATTATAAATGAAAAGAATTTTAATAATAATTATTTTTAATGAGAAGTAATAATTAATATCAATGTTATTTTATTGTTATTTAACAATTGTCATTGATAAACGATGTAAATTATATTTTTAATTAATTACTTCAATTACATTTAAATGTATGTATATTGGCAGATGATCTCAAGTGGCCTTTGATCGCGTGATGATTACAATAAACTTCATACCTTGAAATCTGAATAAAATCTCTTTAATGCTTATATATATTATATCCTTTGATAATTTTGATTAGTAGTTCCATTATTCCACTACTATTATTACTACAGTAAATTTTTTTACAAGCTAAAAGTGTTTCAGAAATTTTCAAATGATCAAGTCACATATGACCTTTAAATTTGCCAACAATGTGTGTAATGCTTATGAATTGTCTTTAATTTAACAATTTGATTAGTAGTTCCATTATCAGTAAATAAAAGTAAAAATAATTTTGGGGGACATTTTAAATAAGAAGAAAAATCTTTTTTTGGGAAATTTTTGATAGTAAGAATCAATTCGTGTTTCGAGAGTTTATTATTATAATTTATCCTAAAGAAAATATAGATTATCTAATCTGCAAATACATGTGATCCTATTGTTAAAATTTTCATTATTATTATTATTTCATGGGTTCGGATTGAATCTGGATGAGGTTATATGAACCATGTTCACATTAAATGGATTGACTCGTTTTATCCAAAATTCAATCTTGGACAATAGTAAAATTTCAATCTACCTTGTGAACAAAATTCAGCTGATCGGATATCAAAATCCCTGATTGTGAAAACAACCATAGTATTAAACTAATATTTATCAAACAGGGAATTGTAATTTATCCGTAAAAAAAAAAGATATAAATCAACGACAAAAATTCCAACGAGTGTTTTAAATTTGCTAACAAAAGATCAAATAAACACAATTTAGATAAGTAAATTGAATATCAACTGTTCAACATATATATAAAGCATCTTGATCTTTCCTTTTAGAAATTCCAAATTACTCTCCTCGAATATTTTTCATTTTTAAATTACAAATAATTTTTATAATTTTCAAATCACATCAAATATGAATTCAATTTCGTTATTAGAAATGAATGCAATAAATATTATTCACTATATGAGAGGAAACAAAATATTAATAAGTGGCAAAAATGCATTTTTTATACAATTAGAATTTTCTTTAAAGATGAAAACTATAGAACTTACAACTAATACATCATTAAAAGATCTTTGTCATGATCTTTGGATTTCTGCATCACCAGATCAAAGAAGAAAATTCGAAGTTTTGGCAAATAAAGTAAATTATCTTAATAAAAAATGCAAAAGGCGTTTATACAGACGACATCAAAATAGCAACGCATTTGACTTAATCAATGGAACCAGTTTTCCTTAGAAGTTATAAATTCTTTGGTGAATTTGACCTTTGATTTTTTTTCTTTTTTTCTTTTTTTCTTTTTTTCTTTTTTTTTTTTTTTCTTTTTTTTTTCTTTTTTTTTTCTTTTTTTTTGTTAATTAAGTATAAATTATAAGATTTTTGAATCAATTAAGAAAACCTGGTTATAATTAATTTATAAATTTAATTATAAATTATATGCTTCACTTAAGAAAATTTTATTATTCTTTAGTTTAAAATTATAATAATGATGAATAAGATTCAAGAGTTGCTGCTACAACTTTAATTTACTTTTAATTTCTATCGATTGTTCTTTTTACAATTAGATTAAGATATATGATTTTCTGGTTACACATGAATTTCCCAATGCTTGAATATTTTTCATGATCTACACGCATTTTTATAATAGACAATATATTTATATTACAATGTTTTTTATGGTTTCATTTACGAATAAAGAGGAGACTCTGAGTCGTTAAAAAAATTTATTCAGGAGACAGATAGGAAAAATCCGGAATATTCAAAATATCCTTTAATGATGGTTAAAATTTGACAATGACAGAG